CCCTCCTTCGCGGTATTCCTCTTCTCTCTTCTCTCACCACAGGGTGGGACTTGGTGAAAGGAACAATGGCAGAGCAAGTCTTGTGAACGATTCTTCAGTTCTGAACTGCTGCAGCCAGACAAAGTGGGTATCTTTGGAAGACCCGCCAGTCGAGTGTTCATTCACAGTGATAGGTGAACACCGGCAAAACATCCTGGATTGGGGGGAAAGGCTAAAAAGGGACCCTGATGCCCTATGCTGATCCCGAGCAGAACACCACAGCGTAGGGTGCGTATGTAGAGCGCGCGAAGGTGTCGGCCACTGCCACCCGAAAGGCTGCCGGTGACTAGACCACCTATCATGCAAAGGTCACTTGGGATCTCCCTCCGCGTAGGAGAGTTCCGATACATCCAAGGCTAGCAGTAGCCGCGCTGATTCCAGCTCCAATAGCGTATATTAAAGTTATTGCCGTTGAAAAGCTCGTAGTGGAACCTTAGACCTGGCCGATCTATCCTCCTCATCGAGCGTACGGATTCGGTCGGGTCTTGCCTTCTGGGGAGCCCCGAGTGAACTCTCAGAGTGTGAATTAAGTCTTCCTTGGTTGATACCCTCATGACCGATAGATAACCCAATGCCATCGCCGATAGCCCTGATGGTGGTGTCTGTAACTTTGCTGGTGTCAGGGTGCAATCTCAGGCTCGTACGGGTTTGAGTCTCCTTTGGCCATGCCATGGCCGATACTTGATACTCTGACGGATAGCCCATGGCTGATATCTCATGGCCAACACTTGATGCTTGATAGAGAGCCCCGTGCGGATCGCGCTCTCATCAAAGATGTTGGTCATGGAATTCTTCTCTTGCTCGTGACAGTCAGACACATCGCAGAGATTGTGACCTTTTTCTTTGAGCCTTCTATCCTAACGTACACAACCCAACGGTCCTGCTCAGAGCGAAAGGGTATCTCACAATGGAGCCGGAGTAGCCGTTGGGGTAGACAATGATTCTCCATCCGTGTGTCTCGAAAATGAGGGTAGTCACTCTTCTCCTGGTTGCTGTCAGGCGATGGGATGAATTTGATCAGTGAGCACGGTCTTCGCATCCGACGTGTTGTACAAGGCCCATACTTGATTGCGGAGACCATCGTAGCCGCCTTTGACTTGGAAGTATACTCCCATACAAGTAATTGCCCGGTTTTAGAGGAGCCAAAGGCCAACCATTGCGATCCTGGTGGATTGACAAGGGGTGCTCGCGCCGCCTCAGCCAGCTTTAGCTTGCGAATGGCATAGCCTCTAGGTTGAGCTTGCATTGCTTCTTTCCTCATCTCTCTCGACTATGTCCTTGTTGCCCTCAATCTTCGCCTGATCCCTTATACCATTGCTCTACTACGCGCAATGCCTTGATCTCATGCTCTGCGGCTTTTCGAGTTTGTGCAATGCTCGCTTGACTAAGACGAGATTGGATACCAGTATCATAGATGTGACGAATGCTAACTCTACTTCCAGCTCCAGCTTAAGAGAGCTCCTAATGGCAGGACTTAATTCCTGGAGGCTAAGCGGACAGGACTATTCGCAGAACAGTGCGCCGTCGGTTGCATCGGGCGTCTCAGGGCTGATCAGATAGCCCGTGGCCCGATGGCTGATACCTGATGGCTTACAATGGATAGCCCATGGCCGATACTTGATACCTGACAGCCCATAGCCCAAGACCCATTACTCGCTGGTGCTGTGATGCTGCTGTAATGCATTGAGCTCGCTCTGCAGCCCAGCAAACCTTTCCTGAAGTGCTTCCTTCTCTTTCTTTTCGACTGCAAGGCTTTCTATAAGGAACTCGACTTTCCTGTTGATACCGGCAACGATCTCTTCGGGCTTCAACGCTTTCATCGACATAGCTGGACTAGCGGAGGTGAGAGTGAGGGCGGCGGCGGGAGTCTACGACTCCTCGGCGGTAGAGGCGTTGAGGGAGGAGGGACGCCTCTGGGATGGAAAAATAGCAGCGGCCTGTGTCACTGCTGGTAGTAAGAGTAAAGTAGGTGTTGATTTCTTGAAGCGTGTAGTACACTAGTGAAGCGTAGTGGTCGTAGATAGGCGAAGGGAGTATCGTATTTGTGTTCTTCGTGGGTGCAAGGTCCAGCTTCTTATGGCGGGAAGTCTTGCCCGCGAAACAAAAGGCGTCCATTTGGATCCCTGGAAACAAGGCATCTACTGTGATGCTGCTGTGTTGGTGGTGTTGGTGGTTGTCTGCAAGCCTTGATTCCTTGCAATGCAGACATTGTGCTTGTTCCTCAACCCAGCGAACTACCTAGAGATCCATTGAACTGCTCCAGGTGGAAAAAGGACCTTCTCTCGCTCGTCATTAGCATCGACACGGCGTTGTTGGTGCTTGGGGCCTCGTAATCTCTTCCTGGGTTTGCGGAAATGGCCGAGGAGTGGCACATGTCCTGCAACACGCTCAACGGCGGACCTGGGAACGACGGGGGGGCGAAGGGGGATCGGTCCAGCGGAGTCGGGACTCGGGGTTAGGGAACAGACATGATTCGACCATCGCCGACGTTTTTGTTGCATGCATAGGCTACCTGATCAGCCATGGGCTATTAGAGCCTGGCCGTAGGTGGGAGGAAGAGTAGGATTGCAACCTGTAAACAACGCAAAGAGGCCTCCTCAGTAGGTCCGCCACAAGAAGAGAGAATGATGGTCACATGATGTATATCTCAGTCAAGGACTTGCCAAGGGGCGCTAATGCAAGAGGAGGTGCACGGACCACAAGATATCGTGAGTGACAGTTGTGGCCCGTACACCAGCTTCGTGCATTAGCGCCCCTTGCACCACGATCACTTTGTGGTCCGTGCACCTCCTCTTGCATTAGCGCTCCTTGCTTCGCCAATGGCATCTCGTGCTTCCTCACCCTGACCGAAAGGACGGTCGTCGACCGGTCATCCCAGGGTACTTCTCGCGAGATGCGATGGGGATCGCCGAGACCCGATAGTCCGCTGGCGAATACCTCGTCCTCAATCGCTCACGGCGTATTACTCGCTGCTGGTGGCGTTGTAGTATTGTGCTGCGGAGTCATGGTGAACCGAAACCAGTGGCTTGTATTGAGTCGCCCGTTTGACCACCTGGCGAAGCTGCCGGACTTTCCGTGGGCGGGAAAGGTCACAGAACGTCCGCTCTAGGTGCCATCAAGAAACACCCATGATCAAGAAACAACCAAACAATTCGCCAATGATGATGACGCGGATCGCATCGGACTGTTGGTAATTTATTCGCGGCCGTACTGAGAAGGCTCTTTGACACTAGAATGATGTTAATTCTGCGACGGATAGATCTTCGGAAGAAAGGCCTTCAAAGCGAGGACAGGCTCTGCAGTTTAGTTAGTGATGCACTCTCTGAACCTAGCTGGAGAGATATATATGAATATCAAAGACAAGGAACTATGTCCACCCTAAATTCTCTCAAGTGCATCCCTGAGCTGACGCGGTTCTCGGTGATAATGGCTCGATTATTAGCGAAGAAGGCTGCGTGTGTAACGCGAGGAAGACGGTGCCAAGGAAGAGAGAAGGCGTAGACGCCACGAAGAAACGGAAAGGCGAAGATCGGAGGCTGAAGGAGCATACGCCGCCATGAAGAGGAGGAGCAAACACTTACAGAAAGCACCGGAGTCACATTGGTCGGCCTTCAAGAGCCACCAGGCATGCTCCTATCATCCTTTACCGCACCATGACCGATAATCACAGAGGATGGGACTCGTGGGAGGCAGAGGGCGGGCGTGTGTGTTGAGACGGGGGGGCGTCGACAGGCATGACTTTTGCCGAAGATGAAGTGTTTACGGCCGGTCAGCCCATCGGCATGATCCTCGCAAACACTGCCCAACAAGCCGCTGTTGGTGCGCGGGCTGTGCTGATCCAGTATGAGGAAACGGAGTACCCGTACACACCATTGCTGTGCCGCGACCGGGATCACGAGATGAGGAGTTGTGCCTTCAAGGTCTTCAGAACGACATGTCTGAAAGGATGTGGTTGATCTGAGAAAGGTCCGCAGGGAGCTATAAGCCTAGTATAGAGGTTTGGCAAGAGTCTTGTGCGTATTTCAATTGCAGGGACCTCCGGTAGTGTATTGCCTTCGCCATGGCAGCGACCTCCTGTTGCGGCCAAAGGCAGTACAGAAATTTCGCCTCGGGGAAGAGCACTAGCAGGATTGATATCACTCAGATCCTATCCGGTAGTTCCATTCCTCGTTGCAGAAGTGACGATGTCTGCCAAAGTTCCAAATCCATTCGTGGCTTTGTATGCATCCTGGTAGAGACTGTTCATTCCCGGTCGGCGATCGGCAAGGTACTTTGGTTGTGGCATCCTCTCGGCCACGGCAACAGGCAGCTGAACCCATTTCTTGACTTGAAAATATCGTCCGTTGGAGCCAGAGATAGCTTTGCGGCGTTTGGGATCTGATGCTCGACCTCGGACGTCCATGAGATCGTCATTCATTGTCTTGGTCATTCTTGTCTTCACATCTCCAAAGCGACAGCTCCTTGTTTTTCGATTACTCTCTCGGTACCGAGTACTTGGCTTGGACATATCGATAGGGCATTGGATTGTGAAGTGCCGATATCATGGCAAACCTCCGAGATCAATCAATGACTGACAAGTCTTGGATTTCAAAAGTATGATCTGCTTTTCTCTGATGGAAGGCAATCTGCGACAGTTTCTTGAAGGCTTTGCGTTCTTGAGGAGCCATCGAGTCGGAATCCTTGCGGACCTCGATTTTATCGCAAGTAGAAGAAAAAGAAAAACAGACACTGCCGCTCCTGCCCCTTCTGTTGCTTCCGCTATCGCTTCTTCCTCATGAAGAGGCAGCAAAGAGCACAGTGATTCGGATCCCAATGATGATGGTTGGAAGGAGATCTATCCCGAACGGTTATCAAGAGGGTCAATGAAACGGTGGTTATCCCAAAGTCGGAGTATGAACTGGAAGACCTGCAGCTCGTCACCGTGTTTAGACTTTCTGGAGCTCGTCGACGAGAATTTCATGCGACGCCTTTGTCGATCACGTTCCTTGAAGAAGTTGTTGTCGTAAGGCTTGCTCATCCTTTTATCTTCTTGATTCCATGGTGCAAGTCTGACCCTGACGAGACGTAAAGGGACAAGCAGACAAGACACAACAGTAACCCAAAAGTTTGCTCCAAAACCGAGGCAAGTCATTCCCGCTGCTACTGATACCCATTTTCCGTTCACCGCAATGAGGCGAGGGCCGGATCTCAATCCGCCTACGTCACCATCTTCCTCATCGGCGTGGACAGATGCATCAGGTAGCCGCCGCTGGCGTCGTCTTCCTCGTCGTTGAATTTGTCGCTGAAGCCTTTGAAGACGGAGCATTCAAGTCCGTTTTGCTGAACCCGTCTGGTGAATCTCAAGTTCCGTTTGGATTCAAGCTCTTTCTTTGCGTTTCCGGTCGCCACATTCACTGGAATTTTCATCATCCAAGTCATAGAGGTAAAAGATCTAAATAGGGATTGTAATGGAGATTTTCCCCCCCTTGTCACTCGATCCCATGAGTATCCTGCCAGGACGCGCAGACAGAGTATGATCGGGATTCATGTCTGTCTGATACTCGAAAAACGACTGGATCAAGTGATTTCTACACATTCTACGCAGGACGTGACGCCGCCGACGAGGAAGAGGATTGACCCATCATTGACTGGGGAGCAGGAGGTCCTTGCGTGCGTGTTAATGGACGCTTGACTAACCTCGGCGCCGTTGAGGCACCTCAATTTTCGATTGTTGGATCGAGACAGCCTTCTCGAAGGCTTTCCCGGCTTCCAGATCTGTATAGAGGACATGAGGAGAGGACGGAGAGAATGTCTTTGCTGCCTTGCTTATTCTGCTTCTGTACCCGGAAGGCATTTGCGGCTTGTGTATGAGATCGGCAGCCGCGGGGTCAGTTAGATGGCAATTCGAAAGCTCCTTCTCCTCCGCGTTAAGGGATTGAATCGTGTATGCAAGCGAAAGGAGAGAGGGAGAAGATTCCTTTCCGGAATATGTGCGTGTGCGCCCCGATCCGGTAGTGGTGAGGTCGGGTCACAGAATTGAAAAAGGGCGCTGAGCAAACCTCACGTCTCAATTTGGGTCAGAGGGCAGAGAGAGGATAGAGGCTCGACGATGCTGCTCTCGAAAGAAGGGAGGTTCACCGCGATGGCCTCGCCGTCACTCCTCGTCGACCGATTCCTCATTGCCATCTCCCAGATGCTCTGCGGAGGCAACTCGGATGTGTTCGATTTGTGATACTACAAATATCCATTGTAACAGTCTTTGTAACAGTCTTTGTAACAGTCTTTGTAACAGTCTTTGTAACAGTCTTTCAGCTTCGAGAAATTATGGTCGGTGCCAGGAAAGACACTCGAGAGTAGTAAACTAGAACGCTTAGTTAGTACCTCCTTCGATATCGAATCGTTGTCTGCTCATCACCTACTCTAGAACCATTTGAAAGACCGAACCCCCAGAGACGAGGCATTGGGACCCGCGGACAATTAGCGCATATCCAGGCAAATACGTGTCGGCCTGGTGTGGAATTCGGTGAGATTGTGAAAGACAAAGCAACCGCCGCCGATCTCTTGAGGAGGTAGGGGTAGAGACTGGGATACGGTCCCTTGGTTGTCCAAGGCAGAGGCACCAAGCCCGTCTGGGATAGGGAAGGTGGTGGTCGTGGGCATGGTGACTGCTGTCATGGTCGGAACAAGAAGGGTGGGAAAGGCTGAGGGTCGGGTATAGTGGAGGTGGCGAGGGGACGGAGTTGGGTCAGGGTGTGTCTAAGCACATGAAGAGAGTTGCAACGACGCCCGTCGCGGACTCTAACCACGAGCTTTGGACCGAGGCCATCTGGGTCTTGATTCAACGGCCATGAGGCTCTGGTATAAGAAGTCAGATCAGTCTTGACAACGAGGATGGCTTCACTAGCCGACTTGTCGGCCTCCGCTGACTGGCTGCAGAGGAATGGCTGGTTGACATCCTCTTCCTCGGCGGAGGCGGTAACTTTGTGTCGTTCCGTCGGCCGTCATTGGAGACGAACCATGTTTGAGATGAGACCGATTATTGACTCTGCTTATGTTGAACCAGATGGGCCGTCTGCATGGACAAACGGAGCAGCTGTTACGAACAGGCCTTTGAGGCGGCCACCCCAGACCAAGAGGAAGGAAGGACAGCCGGGACGGTGACATAAGAGAGCTCACGTGTGGTGATCTGCTGTGCTCGGTCCTGCTCTGGATACAATAGAGCACAAGAGAGCGACACCAAAGTCTTTTCTCTATATAGTCATCCTTCGTAGTTAACTTCGTTTAAAGATAATCGACTTCCTTCGGTTATACGCTTTACGTATAGTCCCGTACACTATACTCTTGGTCTCGTCTCTGCTATACAGCTCCACTACTCTATTACCAAGTGAACCACCTCGGGTTCGCTGCTGGCACCTCACATGTAAAGCGACTCGTAACAGCAGCATCTATTCGAACCGCGCGGACAATGACTTGCGCAACTTCCGGTACAGAGGATGTAATCAGACGAGCCAACGCATAGAGACGACGGATTGCAATGTCTCAAAATCTTAACGAAGAGGTCCATGTCGAAAGAGGTCCGACTCGTGTTTCTTTCAGGTGGCCGCGAACCTGGACCCAGTCGAGTCGGTGGCAATTGTCCGGTTTTGCCATGCGCCAGACTCGGCGAGACTCGAGTAACTGGGAACTTGTCTTCTCCCGTGTAGGATACCTACGGGACTCCCTCGTTTGGATCTGACGGTTTTCAATCACGGGGACTGGAGGACAACCACCCAGATATTCCCGTCCTCTGTCTCCTGGTTTTCATGTCGGGAAGCTCACTTTCTTCCATCAAGCGTGAATAGTGCTCTGGTCATGGAAGCTCAACCAGTGATCCTCGGATTTGGGGATGCAAGAACTGTATCAAATCGAAACGCGAAGACGTAGTCGCGTATGTTAACCCGGTGCCCCGTGCGCGGCTGAGCGAGCGAGCGAGGGAGGGACGGGGATTTTTGGTCGAACAACTTCCCGAAGAGACTCAGATTCTGGCAACATAGTTTTGGGGATATGGAGGTGAGTCGCGTTGATATTTCCTTGTTCAGAAGAACGATGGCCACCTCGTCGTCGACGCAGGGAAGGGGGTGAAAGACCCCGCCCACCAACCCGAGCGAAGGGCGCGAGGGCACGATGCATGCTTTCCGTAGCAGATATCGACAATCTCGACGATTCTCAGCCTCTGGCCAGCGTGGATGGCAAGCATGTAATCACAAGGCCAATGCTCGTGGTCTGAGAGGTTTTCAGGCGCAGGTTGCGTATCACTCTCCCAAACCCCGCCCTTACCCGGTGCGATGTCTCTGGGGCTTCTCAGATAGGACTTTCAGCTTTGACAGCTGCGTTTCGAGTCGTGCGTGGCCCGGATTTCGGGGAGTTGTCAGTGGTCTTGAGATGACCATTCGCAAACAGCGCAACAACGGCAGGTCAACGCGCGTCTCACAGCTCTTCGTCTCCCTCATTGGCGCAGCGTGCTCTTCACATAGACTGCCCGCATTGGTGACCTTTCATCTAACCCGCATCCATGTTGGAAAGGGGCGCAGGTCGCCAACGCGGAAGCGGCATCGACGTCCTCGTCGTCGTACGAGGGGATATACCGAATATGTAGGATGTTATCTTCTTACATGGCTTCACAGCGCTTTTCTTTTGCTTCTGCTGGTGATGGGGCCGAAGATGGAGTATTGAGGCTCTTGGGAAGCTCCCCCTCGCCTTCTAGAAGACAACGGTTGCTTTGCTTTTCGCTTTCCCTCGTCCTCCTTCCCCCAGAAGATCGCGAGTCATCGTGGTATATAGCTCTGAGCAGCATTGATTGTTGTTTGCACCCGTAGGACAAGATGCTACTGCTGCACAGCTCTCAAACCTCTTGCCGACAAGACTTCCAGCCAACAGGGAAAAAGGCCTGCGTCCGGTAAAGATGGCGGAGCTGACAGCCAAGAGGGGAGGCGATTTGTCATTTCGTCAAAGTAGGAGACTATGTACGCCCTGGAAAAGGGCCGGCGCCAGCGGGGAATGGAACATCGGCATGTTGCAGCGGTCAATATCGGCCACTGTCTTCGCTCTTGTGGGGGGAAGTCCCATCCCGTCCCCGTGAGATGGATGAGGGCCGACTGAAGTCCATATGTGCATCGCTAGCCTGGCCGCCAAATGCTCGATATGATTGTGGCGACGAATCGGAAACTTTTCTAGCGCATGCACAGCGTTTCCGCCTGCGCCTCGCCGCGTCACAGCCCATCATGATGCACATCCCAGGTGCCCAAATATCGCCTCTTCCTGCGTTTTGCTCTCGAGGTTCTTGTCGACATACGGTTCCTCGGCGGCCTTTGGAGAGAGACTGGTCAGAAATTGATGGTAGATATTGCCCTGGTCAGAAAATTCGAGGAAACCGATTCACAAAGTCGACCAAAGCAACGTGAGACCCGGTTTTCAATTATGGAACATCAGCATGCATTGCTACTCGCCATCTGCTCGGGGGGTTTACTGCGTTAAAATTGGGACGCGTCGCGGCACCGCGCGGGCTCGTATCTGGAAAGTATTTTCTCGTCCAGACCACAGTCTCTGACCAAGTGATGGCGCCATTTTTCTACCTTGGAGGTCGTCAGACTCAGCGGGCGGAACGAGACGAGTCGGTCACTCAAGATGGGAAGACCGCTCCAGTCAGGGGTGTGGCGTTTTTCTGGACGTGGGACAATGAGAGTCGGCGAGTGCAGGGACAAGAAGCGCAGGCTAACGCGGCTGCTGCCGCTCGTCGAGGAAAAGGCGGAGGTGGACGAGGAGGACGTGGACGAGGGAGACATCGTTGGGGGGGACGTGTTAGAGGGAGCCGTAGTCAAGGGGGACATTGTCGAGGGGGACATCGTCGAGGGGACATCGTCGAGGGAGACATCATCGAGGGAGACATCATCGAGGGAGACACAGGGCCATGAGCATACCGTGAGTCGACCGTGAGTCCATGAAGCTATGGTCCGCAGCCGCGCATGCATACATAGCTCGTCAGCTCGTCAGCTCCAGCACTCGTTAGACACATGCTCGAACCGAGAGCATACCGACAGATACACGTACCGAGTCCACACCTCGCGTGTCTGTGTCTTTGTGTCTGTCTAGCGTATCTGCCAACCATGGCTCGTTCTTGCGCGCGGGCCCGCGGAAACCCCCGGCGGGTGATTCCCTCTCTGCGTCGATTTCCTCTCTGCGTCGATTTCCTCTCTGCGTCGATTTCCTCTCTGCGTCTGGTCTGGTCTGGGCTGGTCTGGTCTTGGGGGAGAAAATCGCCAAATCTCAAGTTGATCTCGACGACCGGTCTGAATAAGTTGAGGTTAGCATGCGCTCCCTTGGCACATATCTGCATGGTCCTTACCCAGTGATATCGACCTTTTCGGCTCCCAGCAGGTAGTCGCCTCTGCAGCCCTCGCCGTGACGAGGCCATTATGCTGTCCAGTTATTCAGCCTGTCCCTGGGCATTGGTAGGAAACAAACTCAGCTTTTGAGACGGGCTGTGAGCAACGAAGCCCAACCACAGAAGGGTCGCCGTAAGAACAACACAGAGCAAGCGTAGATATGGGGCTAGCGCTCTCCGTTCCATTTTCGTCTTACCTTGGATTGCGGATATCTGTGCAATTTACGACGGGAATTTGAGCCGGGCGGACGGGGAGTGATAACACGCTCTCGCCGATACATCGGCGCCCTTTTTCACTCAGTGCCACGTAGGACCACCCCATTGACTACCTCATCCGCCCATTTTTACCAACTTGCATTCCGGTGATGCTCTGCCGGTTTCACCTTCTGACCTATATCTTCTACCTTGGATTCATTTCGCTGGAAGAGACATTCGCATCGGGAGGATCTGAATTTGGCGATCCTTGGATCATCAAGCACTCTGCGCACCCTTGTAATCCGAAATATACGATTCTGATGTATTCATTCTGGCGGTATCCGGACGCCTTGACAAACCTGGAGCATCCCAGCCGCCAGAATCATTGAGATAAGGCGACTTCAGTGGCCGGGTGCCTGAAATATGTGCCTGGGGATCGCGTTTCCCAAGGCGCTATATCGTCATCGTCAGGAAGCTGGGTGTGTCCCGAGGAGCCATGTAATGAAGCGCCCGAGATTGCGAGAGCTGCTGACGGCTTGTAGTATTCATGGGACCTCCGGTGGTTCCAAAGATGGCCATGGCTTTCGGGGAGCATTGACTGCGGAGGCCTGGTGTCCCATGGCGCCACATCAGTGTTCGTACGGGCCATGGCGGGAAATAGGAAAGCAAGGACACGAGAGTTGAAGGGAATTTCTCGGTACACGTCAATCTTGGAGAGGTACTGGCGAAAGGAGGGGAGGGACGTTGATGGAATTCTGGCTGCAGAGGCGTCGTCCACCACCACGAAACGAAGATGATCTGAAAACAGTCAATTAGATGGCTACCATTACCCAGTAGAGCGTCCGGAATAGCATGAATAGCCTGATTTTTGTGCCCATCATACGGACTGGTAATCGGCTTGGAATAGACCATCCAGCTCGTTCTTGAACTTGAACCCATACGAGCAAGTCTGAATGACTGCCATCCTTGACATTACCCTTGACATTCTACGTCAATTTGGGGTTGCTGGAAGGGTATAATTCGCCGCCTGGGTCATAGGCTCGTCCGATGGAGCGTTCGCGGGCTGAAGTGTTGCCCCGTTTATGGCGTTCCCGCCCTCTGACCATTGAAAGCCTCGAGGGTGATACATCGTAGCGCCTGGGACCCCTTTCCCGCGAGAGACTGACAGGCTGGACAGGCTGATCGAGGCGATCGGCAGGGGCAAGGTCGTCGGTATCAAAAAGGAAGTTTGACATCGCATACGGCCGTGGTCCGAGATATTGCAAATCACGGCCTGAAGCAAGAGGATTGCGGCTCCTGCGCAGGAGTTGCCCGACTCATCATCAAGTCTGGGGGTCGTCGTTTTCGCCACAAGCATGCCGACAATGAGCACAGCCAGGACGTAAAAATGTCGAAACGCGAATAAAGACCCCCGCTGACAGGAATTCAGCTGGCACTCGTGTCTGGTAGTTGTCACGTGCGAGTTATCCTTGGCGGTTCGTGGCAAAAGTAGAGTAAAGTGAAATTTTCTGCCTCCCCTCTTGAATTTTCTAAATTCTCCCTTTTGTCTCACTCTCTCTCTTTATCTATCATCTTCTTAACTCTGTACTCTCTTCATCATCTTCCAACCACTAGTAAGTCATTCTTGCTCTCCTTCCTGTGATAGTTAATGTAACAAGCTCGTCAGATAACGCCTGGTAGTAGTCCTACTGGCCCGTTGTCACAAAAGTCGCCCACGCAACGGTAACAACAGAAATCATGCGCCCAGGCAGGAAATCTACGCGGCCCCGATTCAAAATACCATCTAAAAATGGTAAACACCGTCAAGGCGGAGGAGGTCTTGCTGATGCAGTCATGCATCGAGCGAAGACAGCGCGAAAGACGCCAGTTAAGCGGAAGAAGAGGCCCTATCGTTTCAAGGCAGGAAGTATGTCCAGGTGCTGTTACATCACACTTATCACATTGCCACTGACTATAATCATAGCCCGGGCCCTTCGAGAAATCAGGACATATCAACGAGAGTCGTTCTTGCTCATTCCAAGGCTTCCTTTTCAACGCCTAGTCAGGAAGATATGCGAGGTATCGGGGCGGTATATGCGATTCCAGGCCTCGGCGCTTGAGGCGTTGCAAGAAGCCTCCGAGGCATTCCTCTGCGGGCTCTTCGAAGGTACATCTCCTTGATGGTTACCTTATTTGTTACAATACTGATGTGTTATCTAAGATACAAATCTCTGCGCCATCCACGCTAAACGTGTCACTATCCAGTCCAAGGACATGCAGCTGGCTCTTCGAATTCGATATGGCCAGGCTGACAAGGAGTTCTTGTCCTCCAGATTTTTCATCAAATGAGAGGATGAAGAGAGAGTCCAAGGCCATCAGGCATGATGATGCTACTTACAGAACTGAGGAGCAGTATGATGGTCCCTGAACTAGGTAGTAATTAACGCCTTCGTGTGAATCACACAATCATCTTAATACTGTTACTGAGCTGGGGCGAGGCTCTCAGCCAGAGGCATCAACTCGTACGGCGGTGGGCATGATGTTAGGGGTAACGACTATCGTACAGTAACAATAAAACAGCAGCGAAGATCCTGATTAGATAGATTCCATTGCTTGCTTGATTGTCCGTCCAGTTATCTCTGTGTGTTGTGAAGGATCCTGTGAAGGATCAAAGAAAAAGAAAGGCACTCTCAGACCCAGTGTCTGAGATCCAGTCAATCAGGAGGTAGGAGTGTCATCCTGTGCATTATACAGGCAGATTCCACCAATCACGTTCCAGCCTGTAGACTCTCCCATTACAAGGGCTGTTACAAGGGCTGTTACAAGGGCTGTTACAACGACTGTTACAACGAGTATTACATGGGTTGTTACAACGACTGTTACAATGCTTGTTACAATGATTGTTACATTGGCTGCGCAGGCCGGTCGCCTGCTCTTGATCATTTCTTGTCTGGGGGGATTGGGGCTCGGCTGCTTCTTGCTTGGATTTTAGAAGGTGGAAACTAATGGGCCTGGGTCTTTCCGGCGTGCATTCTGGCTACGATTGGCATGCAACTCGACGATCGCAACCCCTAGCACGTAAAGGCTCCTCAACCAGGCGAGCCAAGCTGCAAGTGATCAGAACTGGGACGGCCCAAATGACCCGGGGAAAGCCATCAACTGGACGAAGAGGAAGAAATGGTCCAACGTGGCCATCGTATCTTCCGTCACCTTCCTGACACCTCTGGCCTCCTCGATGGTCGCTTCCCGAGACAAACATGTTTCAGGTAATGGCCGCCGAACGAGAAGCACAGCTCATTGCAGACAAACAAAGAGATTGCTGTGACGCATATGCACATTTCCCTCCTCCTCCGCTTACAGTGCGTACCACTACCGTGGACTACGCATCAATGACCAACATATCTCTACAGATCCATCGAAGTGAACCAAGATCCCAACCTTTTCCAACGACGTTTAAAGGTAGACAATTTTGTTGGTCTATTTGATCTATCTGATGTCCCATGAGCTCTGGGTTCTGAGGCCTTTCTTCCTGTAACACATGCCTATGGGTTCGACGGTTGGTTGGGATGAGACGGCTGGGTTGGTGGGTTGCCATTCTGGTATGGAGGCATGTCGTTCTGGCGCAGCATGTTCAAGCCTGCGGCTGCATCCAGGACAGTATTACCAGAACTGGTAGCACCAGGTGGCACTGCATCGGAAAAATAATGCGGAGGACGATCCCATGCCCAATTTCGACGAACAAGCGTGAAAATAGGGGTGAAGACGGCACTGTCGATCAACAGTTCGCTTGCAAAAATTCGCGCATTGTATGTCTTCTCGGACCGTGAGACAGGAACTGTCGATGGTCTTCCGGATTGGAGGATCATTCAGGGCACTCGCGAGTAGGGAGAGCGCTCGAAAACCGGCCGGACACCATCTTCACGTCTGGTCGGGGACAGTCCTCGAAAACCTACACCAGGGATTGACCCTCCTGTAGCCCTCACCCCTCCTCCGCTCCAATCCCGTACACTTAGCCGCGCCGACTCGATGTCTCCAAGGACTAAGCGAGTTACAGCCTCCGCCTTGGACTTCACTCGACCACTCCTACCTCCACCAACAAGCGATAAACCCTCCACGCCTAACTCGACTATGAATACCACTGCACTCTCTAGGAGCGGAACATTATCGTGGCAATAGCGACCTTCGTCTAGGGGAGTGGGTTCAAGATCACGGCCGCTCACTATCGTCTCGCGGTGGCAATGGAGGAAACTCCCGCGTGAAGAGGCAGTCTGAACAGCCTGCAGAACGAACAACAACAGGGACCACTCCAACATCGCCGCAACACCTCCCTTTTGACTCGGCCGGCCTCCCTTTCACTCCTCTTGCTCCATCCCTGTCTATCCCCAAACCAGATCAACGTTCCTGCCAAGAGAAAATGAGCTTCACTGTCCAAGAAGATTGTGTTTATCGCCTCCTTTGAGGAGGATGAGAACCTCGGCCATGAGAATGATGATGACAATGTCCCGCCCAAGGCATGTGCCGCCAGGGAAACAGAACAAGCAGAAGCAGATTCGCGAGGTCTCTGACGTCGGAAATATCTTCTAGCGAGAGAACACACTTCTCGATGGCGGCGCGTTTGCCATGGTCGAGGATGTCGGCCGTCAACTCGCGCCACTTGTGCACAACGTCGTCGTTGCTGAGTTGTATGTCAAACTAATCTCCGATTCATCTTCGACCTCGACGCCGTTTCCACGGTTCTCATCTCGCCTACCTCGCCAGCGATGTCGTTCTCTCCGTCCAGCCTTCTCTGAGCACTGATTCCGAGTTTTCATATCATTTCTCCCGGTTTATCGCCAACGGCTCGAAGAACTTCGTCTCCAAGTCCCTCCCCGAGATCGTTTCTGTGCGCCAAAAATGCAGATCCGCTGCAAAATCTGGTTTCTGTCGCTTAATCGGTCGTCAATGTAATTTCCATTTTTCCTTTTCTCTTTCAAGCCATGTCCCTCTCCCCCTTTTGGGCAATTTCGGCGGGGACGTTGCCTGATCCTGTCGACTTCAGCCGAGTTTTCTCTTTCGCCATCACCTCCCAAATGGAGTTTCGATCAGGCGAGAGAGATTCCGTAAAAAACGATAGCTTCTCAATACTAGGTTCTCCAAACAGCTGCTGAACCCAATATCGTCAGAGATTTCGGGAACTTCGACTATTCAACACGGTGACCCGACTTGTTGCGACGGTCGGGCTGGGCATCCAAACGAGCATTTGCATGGGTTCGAGTAAAATCGCGGCGAGTGAATCCTTGGACAGAGATTTGATGAGCGATTCAGTGCCTTGGACGTCGTTGTATGTGGCGCCGATGAAGCATGATAAGCCCTTTCTTGAGAAAGCAAAGCCGAGGACTTTGGCACTGGGGCACAGCTTCGGAGCTGACTCTCCTTGAATTGAGCAGGATTGACTTCGGGCCGTCGAGGAGCCAGAAGCGCAAGGCTAGCGGTCCGGTGGCCGCTTTACGCAGAAGCCGACGCCTCCGGAAAAAAGAGCAGTGTGAGATCAACGGATCCAAGACCATTCTCTCAGTAGGTCACTGAACCAAAAGAGATCCAAGTATCGAGAGTCGCCCAGTTCGCGACATCGGCAGTGTTTGTCATTCCAGAGTAACGCGTGCGGTGTGTTTGAACTTCAGCCAAGGGTTTGACATCTCTGTGCTCAACAAGATATTGCCGAACCGTAGTGGCTTCTTTGGAACCATTTGTAAACGGCGCAGCCCGGTCCACGTACGAGTTTCAGATATTGAAATCGTGTTTCAGCGTAGAGACGGCCAGAGCAAAACTGGGCTCGAAGTGCCTTGATCGAAACAATCGCCACGAGACCGGTCGCACTGGTTCCGAGAAAGTCCTCGCCATGATTCAAGTCTCTGAGATTGTCCAATCCAGAGCATACTGTTTCTTTGAGACCATCTGGTATCCCATAACCCCCACCCGACCTGCCCGCCAAACGCTGCTATTTTACGAAATACCTGTGCCATTCCTGACATGATTTGTGTTCTCAGCCCAGGATTGAGAGAGTGGACCGCGTCAATCGACCAAAGAAACAATGAGCGACTGGACTGTTGATGCACGAGGAATGCTACGGCTCTACAAACCCTCCACCATCACGATGGCAGCCCGACATCGCGGCAGCGGTCATACTGTACTTGTGCGGACGCAGCGCAGATTCCACGTTCGTCATTCAAGGATTTCCGCTTCGTTTTGCGATTTGAGCATGTCCCTGGAGCGATTGACATGAAAGGGATCACGGCGCCGGTCATGGAGACTCTAGGTTCCGAAAAGCAGAGTTCCTCCAGGTATTTTATACCAAAGACCACCTCTTTGCTGAGCGGGAGGTGTCGGGCTATGGCAACCAGATATTTCCCCAGAGTGGTGGTCCTTGTCGTTGAGACAACCACGTTTTCCAACTGCCACATCCTGCAGACGGCCAGAGAGAAAATGTACTGCGAGCCAGCACTCGTGCGGTATTTGCCGTATCAGGTATCTCGAAGACCAAATTCAAAATTGAATGCTCAATTTCAGTCCGGAAACTCATACTCGACCCTCCGACAAGGTCAGCTGTGAATGGAGCCCGCGCGTTCCGTTCATCGTCGCCTTGCCGATCAACGATTGCCAAGATTGCCACCCAGGAACTTGTAATCGTGCTGCAGTCAAAGAAGCGGCGTCCGCTGCTGCGTCCTCCGCGAACGACGACCGGCGGCGATATCAACACACGATGCGCACTCGAGATTCAGATTGCCACATCTTTGCCACGGAGTGCTTCCATCGCATTTTATTTTGCGCCTGCCTTGCGGTGGATCTTCTCGAGCTTCTCCGTTGACGAGGCCAGGAATGTCTTGGTGTTAACGGATAGACTCTAGAAAATAGACAGACAGACAACCAAAACTTGATAGGTTCCCAAGTCTTCTTCAATGATCCAGCTGTTGTCTTTTTTCTTCGTCGCGCCAACGTCAAGGCGGGTGACTGGGTTCTCGTGCATGCCGGCGCCGGAGGTGTCGGGCTGGCGGCAGTACAGATTGCGAAGGCGTACGGTGCCACCGTTATCGCCACAGCTCCAAAGTCGCCATTGTCGAGGCGTAGATTCAGAAGTACAAGCAAAGGAAGGGACGTCAGAATAACGAGGGCTGGGACGAGTGGGATCCTGTTTTGGGGGAAGGCGTTCTTTCCAGCCCGATCCGAGCGTCGTGGGATAGTAGCACGCTGTACGACTTCATCTGGGACATTCATCGCCCGTAGCCTAGGGCGCAAGTAGGCGGAATTGAGCTTGACGTCCTTGGCGACATAGTTGCAACGGGAAGCTTGTATCAGACCAGCAAGATCCTATGGCGCAACGAGATGAACTGACGATGCTGTCTGATTCATGTGAATGGTGTCTGCGACTCATGCGCACGCAAATTACCAACGGCAAGATCGCGGTGGGCGAATGAATCTCCAGGGAGGATTTGTCGGACTTCATGAGATACTCTGACTTGGGTGTGCCGCACCCGTTTGCTGGCGTTGCGGAATCTCTCGCCAAACTAGATCAAACAGCCAGAAGGGAGTAGAGTCAGCCTAAGCAGCAGAAGTCGACGTTCGAGGCATCTCTGCCTTCTCCTCGCTCCCGGAAACGTCCCTCACCGACATGGTCTCCGCCCGGGGCCCTACGTGTGCGATGGTTGAATCCATGATCATCTAGTCGAGGTACCCGTCTGGTTTTAGACCCGCATACACACCCGAATCATGCGAATCCCTCAGCCTCCTCCATGCGATTGCCCTTGAGATATCTGACCTCGAGACGTGCAAGGTCCTCGCCGACGCCAACACACGCAAATCATGAGGCATAGGGCAAACAGTAAATGAAACAAGATCAGTCCGAAGTACCGAAGACCCCGCCCTCGAACCGCAATGGAACGAAGTCCACGTTCGCGGTGTTGACGAAATGCACACAAGTCAAAAGCGTATAACCTGCAGGATTTGGGTAATGATGGTGAAGCAGATTGTCCGATGGCTAATAGCTGATATCTCATGGGTGCTGGCCCGCTGGTTATGGTGGTGCGTTGGGGTGGTGCGTTGCGGTGGTGTCACCCTTCATCCCTTCCAAGGGCACTCTGGCACGGTTTGCAGGATCAAGGAGATATTGGGCAGGAAAGGTATTGACAGCCTTTACCTTGACTAATCCCAACCGTCTTCTCCTCCTCTTTCTTCATGTCTCTTCATATATCTTGATCAGTCCGCCTAGTAGCTGGCACTGAAGCCTGTTACAAAGACTGTTACAAAGACTGTTACAACTGCTCGCCCAGAAATCACCTTAGTCAAATCTTAGTAAGCGGAGACCTTTGAAGGTGACTTACTATCACGGTCCCGCCAAGACCTAGTTGGCACGTGACTATTTCGCGCGCTGCCTGCGACCATTACCTCGTCACAGACAGGCCAACTCTCAGATAGACTCTCCTCGAGTTCGTATTCATGTTATTAGTGCTGTAACACTTTGTGCTGTGCTGGCGCCGTGACACTTACACAAGATCCACCTTTCTCTCTGATATTTCCCATCAATCATGGACCCAAATCAAAGTGACGGCGATATACATGAAGTACCAACTACAATGGATGTCGACACGGAGTAGGGCCTTTCTCTCCCTTTCGCATTCTTGAGGTCAAAGAGTAACTTACTGATGTAACAGGGATTGTAACAGCCATTGTAACAGCCACAATGATCTCTCTAGCTCGACTGGAGAAAACCACCCTCCCTTATCCACGAGAATCATGAGCAACCTTCTCCACAATGAGTCCATGGCTGACGAGTCCTCTGATATTGAAGGATCCGCTTATCCATCAAAGAAAATCAAGACTGAGCATGATACTGATGATATGGCCACGGATGAAGTCGAATCTGGTCACCGTCTCTCGGACCTACAGTAAATAAGTCTGTTATTGATTGTTACAATACCTATTACTAACCTCGGATAGGACACTATTCTCCAAGGGCAAGGGTGGCCGTAAGGTTGGGAGTGGTGCGGGCCAGAAGAGAAAGCAACCGAGCCAGTATTCACAGAACAAATCTACGGTGAAAGATATGGCACGCCGTGCTAGAATGAATGATGCTCAGAAAGAAGACTCCCGCGCCCATAATGCTGACCGTGTCGCGAAGAGCCGCGCGCTCAAGAAGCTACGCTAATCAGAGGAGTATCAGCAGATGACCTTGGAAGAAAGAACCATTGCGGAAAGCTTGGTGGCAGTAGAACTCAATGAGACTAGGTAAGTAACAACCATTGTAACAGCCATCATCCTACTAAACTACTCTTAGAACACAATCAGGCTACTCGCGAGAGTTCATCCGGGCGAAGCTGGCGGCTGAAAAGGCCATCTTGGAAGAGAAATCAGGTCGCCAGGCAGACTTTCTCGTAGCTCATAGTAAGCTTGCTCATGAGAAGCCTGAGCATGAGCTATTCTGGGACGATACTGATGGTGAAGATGAAGATCAAGCTCCGATCGATTCCGTCAAGAGAGGCATGATTGACGAGATTAAAGATGATACTACTAGTATTCAGCAGGCTATTAAGATGGCATATCTTGATGTACACTCTTGGGACTTTGACACTCCTGAGCGCCTTAAGGGCACTCAAGCACCTCTAGATATGGCCTCAGCGGCCGAGGCTGCTGAAAATCGACGAAGGTATGTGGATTGTTACAAAGATTGTTACAACGATTGTTACAAAGCTTATTACTAATCTCTCTTAGCCATGACCCGAGTAAAATGTCTCGCAGTTACCAGATGTGGATCATGTTCAAAGACGGATGTGAGCAAAACCTCGCGGACCTGGCGAACAAAACCAGACTGTGATAGGTTGAACCCAGAAGGAGGCTCGGTTCTGACGAACCAGCGCCAAGACTAACGACAGGACCAACGTCACCCCATGATTGGCTAAATTTACCTGTACATTGTACAGGCAAAATGCAGCCTCCTGATTGGACGAGGCACGTACCGTGCAAGGGATACCGAATCCTGGCAAACTGAGACACCGTACGCAAGGGAAGGTAAGGAAGAGAGACAAAAGGTAAGGGAAACGTAAAGCGTGTACGAAAGAGGAAGGACAAGGGAGAAAGGGGAAGACATTAAGTACCCCTTACGGAGGAGCGTACGATATAAGGAGAGAGGGAGGGGACGTTATTCCTCCTTCTCTCTCCTTAGATTTATCCTCCTTGTTACTAGGTTGGCTAGCTAGTTACAGAACTCTTTCCAAACCCTCACAATAGCGTACTAAGTATAGTATTATCGCGGAGAAAGTACTATTCGTAGGACTTTAACTCCGTAAGCCTACCAGTTTAAGTCTCTTATAGTAGATTACTTAAGCTCAGCTCTATGTTAGGGACGCTATCGAGTAGATAGGCAGAGCGCAACAGGACTAGTAATTAATGATAGTATTCCTAGACGCTAAGTCGATACATGACTCGAAGTATAAGAAGGAGGAAAGTCCTCCGCGGAGCGCAAGCGGCCTTACTAAGTTAGCAGCCTTGGCATCCGTGACAGTTACCCCCCCCCCCCCCCACCCGAGGCGCCTTGTCCTCAAGGTGCCCGCCAGGAGCAACTCCTGATATCGAGTCTTGGCAAAGCCTCGTCGGGTCGCCTATATATATCTGGCTTTCCCTGTAATTAATAGTTCCCTTCCTTTCTTTTCTTCCTTTAGTGACACCTGCGACCCGCAAGATGGAGAAGCAGCTGCCCGTTCCCGACTACGTCTTGAGACGCCGTCGACTCTCTGACGGTTCGATCACCGCAACCAGAGGCTCCATGGGAGAAGAAGCAAGTCGCAAGGCACTCGCAGCCCGTTATGATTCGGATCTCGAGCAACCCGCAGACGACAGTGATCAACCCGCAAGCGAGTCGGAAGTCGATCCCACTGACCCTCTCCCCTATCAGCGGTGTGTGCGTCAGCTGTGCGACTATCCCAGCACTCATGTCAAGTGCGAGTACGGTCCTGGTCGGTTGATATGCGATCGCTGCCGGGAGGGCAAGCGCCAGTCAGATGGCTGCCTTGCGGTATTTTCGCACCCATCCCGCAGAGTAAGTGTTGTTGCTGACCGTATGCTTAGATTCCAAAACACCTCCGCCGTGCCGCACGCGAACTCCTCATTTCCTCGCATGATTTCCGCCATCGTAACGGTCGCGTTTCGCGTGAGACTGTCCGTGAACTGGCGAAAGCTTTGAGTACCAACATGGCCAATGCGACTCGCATGTACAACAAGTCTGCGCGCGATGGCGACAATGAGCTGACCGACCTGAAACCGAGACCAAACGCACCCGCTCTTCAGTCGGGTAGCAAGCGTAAAGCACCGCCCATCGAAATCCCCTCTGACGATGAGGATGAGTCTCCCGTGCGTCCGCGCAAAACCGCAAAGACAACCGCAGCTCAACCCGCCAGCCCTGCCGCAGCTCTCACTCCCGCCACTGACCGCAAGCCAGCCGTCTCCGAGTCGGCCACAGTCGCAATCACCCAAATTCTCAGACAGACAAACCGCATGCTTACCATCCTGCAGGATGTTTCTGATCGCCTTGCGGCCGTCGAGGAACGCATGCCTGACGGTGAGGGCAATTCTGCGGTTCTCGAAGCTGTCGGCCACCAGGTGAATGAGATCTTCGAATACTTGCAACCCAACCACGTCCCGTCTGCTACTCCCGCCAGACCCGACTCCCCTGCGGCTCGCACTGCGCACGCAAGTGATGATGATGAAGAAGCAGACCAGCCAGACGTCGAAGACGACGCAGTGGAGGAGGATGCGAATACTGGTGGAAAAGGTGTCGACAATGCTGGTGTCAATGACCAGCTCACCGCAGGTTAGCCGCATCTGATTCGCGAACCGGGTGGATGGGTCTGGGCATGGAGGATGATATCTCCTTGCGGTTCGCGTGTGTTGAGTGTTTTCCTTTTCTCTTACTACCCGCACCCTTCATGGGTTGCCACAGGCATGTCGCACCACACCAGTGTGCGCCTCAATCCCGCCTAGCAGACCGCAGGCCAACTCTCAACCATTCCGCAAGACAAACCGCACAGGAAACGTGGGAGGCGCCTAGCATGCTTATGGGAAGGAGAGATGAGCTGGGTTCACCATTGGACAGAGTGCTTTTCGCACGCGGTTGAGTTAGCGTGGCGCAATCTCGCAGACAAAGTTTCTAGTAGATAGAGTGAGCTTCTCGCATGCGAGACAATTACAAGACTCTACTACTGACTTCTCTACTCCGTTATGGCCCTCAGCCTTCTCGCGTGCGTTACTCAAGGATGCACTTTAATCAGTCGCATAGAGTCAACGGGTTGCCCTGCGGGCAACCCGCCTACCAAAATCCGCCGCAGCGCTGTCGCAGCGCGAAGCGCGCATTGGATTCGATGGATCTCGCTTCGCGGGCGACCCATCTTAAGGCCCATGAGGGTAGTAGGAACTCTGGTTGTAGTACGCCTACGGTTCTCTATCAACCCTCTGTCGCCGCCTAAACTCTTCAATCAAGTCGCGCGCGTTTTAGCTAGGTTGCTCGCCGGCTCCCAGGAGTCGTCAGCCTCGCCATAGCCTTTCCGCCGCACATGAAATTGAGTCCTCCCTGACCGCACGCGTTCCGCAAGCACTTCTTCTACTTCCCATTCCTCCTCGCCGTCGATGTCGATAGGCTCCGGCCGCGGCTCTCCGGCTCGCGCACGATACGCCCGCAACAAGGATACGTGAAAGGTGTGGTGTAGTCGCCCGTACTTCTTCGGCAGCCTCAGTGTATACGCATTAAGACCGTGCTTGTCCACAACCTCAAAGGGTCCTATGAACTGGTCCGTAAGCTTCTTGCTTGCCCGCGCAAGGCGGATATGCTTTGATGACACGAGCACGAAGTCGCCAATGGCAAAGCTTCGTTCCGCCCGCTTCTTGTCGTAATGCTCTATCATGCGTTTCTCAGCTTCCTCGCGTGCTTCTTCAGCCGCAGCAAGGGACTCGAACAGCATCCTCGCTCGGTCCTCAGCCGCAACGCTCACTGGTCTAGCCGCGCGCTCCTCGCGGTCGACATTCATGTATAACGTGGGCGTTAGGGAGAGTACCCATTTAAACGGGCTCCTTCCGGTCGATGCGTTCTTCGTAGAGTTAATCGCATACTCCGCGCTAGGGAGTAGCTCTGCCCAGTCTGACTGCTGTTAGTTGATATAGCAACGGAGGTAGTACTCGAGGGTCTGGTTCATCCTCTCCGTCTGGCCATCGGTCTGTGGATGGAACGCGGTAGAGAATAGCCGACGAGTCGTAAGATACGAGCATAGCGTGCCCCAATACGCCGATGTGAAGGTCGTCCCACGATCCGACACGATAGACTTGGGCGCACTAAACTTCGACACGACCTTCTCAAGGATCATTTGTCCCATCTGAGGTGCGTCTGTAGTGCTTCGGCATGGGGTCAACACCACCATCTTTGAGAAGCGATCCACAATCACGAGTATCGAGTCACATGCGTTACGCCCGTGCAACGACGGGGCAGCCCTGTGATGAAGTCCATAGCGATATCCTGCCACGGCCCAACCGGCCCCGGGAGGGGTTCCAGTCGTCCGTATGGCTTATGCCGCGGGACCTTCATCCTCTGGCATATATCGCATTGATCTATATAATCCGTGATGTCTCGCCTCACATGCGGCCACCAATAGAATCGCATAACATTATCACTTGTGCGAGTCCGGCCAAAGTGTGCGCCTTGCCACGGGTCATCGTGATTCACGCGAAGAATCTCACCTCGTGTGGCTGGGTCACTGGGGGTGTAGACGGCGCTATCGTGCCGCACCAGGTTCGCATGGTCGACGCTCCATGTTCCTTTAAACATACCCCGGGGTACCACCACCTCGGGAAGCGTGCGCCACTCGCCCTCCTTACACCAGTCGTTCTGCGACTGAAGGTAGAGCAACCGGGAGGTGAGCGCCTCGCTGCCTTGAAGCATGCGGGCCTCCTGCGCCTCAGAGGGTCTCTCGGTCTGTTCACTAGGCTCCACGGGAAGCGAGCTGTGTGATAGTATTATACACGCTCTCAGCCGTTTCTCGGCTGTCCCGGGCTCTTGCCCTGGTCAGTACGCCAACAACAACGGCGTCCCCGACCCGCAGGTGATCCGCCTGCGTTTCAACATCGTCCGGCAGCCGCTTCTGCAGTAGCGCTGTCAAGATGTTTTCTTCTGGGGGTGGGTCCCTCTCCATGTGGTCCGGCCTTCGAGAGAGCCCATCCGCAGGATTGTCTTTACCCTTTCGCCACTGAATTTGGAAGTCGTATGCGGCTAGCACTTCGGCCCAGCGCATCTGGCGTCGGTTTAGGACCTTTATCTCCCTGAAGCTCTGAAGGGCCTCATGGTCGGTGAGGACTATCGTTCTTACCGCAGGCGATTCGAGGTAATGTCTCCATACCTTGAATGCCTCGACGATAGCTAGCATCTCACCGTCCCCCGTGTGATAACTCCGTTCCGCAGTGTTCATCTTCCGCGAGAAGAACGCCACCGGTCTCCATTGAGTGCGGCCACCCTGCGTTTCGTATGCTTGTGTGAGCACATCCCCCAATCGCCTCTCCCGAAGCGTCGACCTCCACTCGCGACTGGCGCTCTGGGTCGAAATGGGCTAGCATGCGAAACGCAGGCGAGACGCATGCGTGCCGCAGTGTTGCGGATTTAGCCATTCTCGCGCTCTTCCAATAATATGTGCTGCGGTGGCTGTTGCGGTCCGCGTGCTAACCGCTACAGTGTCTGCCGCCGTTAAAGTCTCTACTGCCCTCCTCGCCGAGTCAAACGGCGTTGCGGAACGCCTCAATCATGCACCGATGAGCAAGATGAGGTCGATGAGGAAGGACTCAGGATTACCTGAATATTTATGGGAGAATCTTTTTCAAATCGCCGCTTGTTTACTCAATCGTAGTCCGAACGGATCGATTGGTCGTTTTATTAAACCCTTTGGTGGAAGTTTGCAGACCGTTCTAAGCCGTGCATCATGCTTGGTTACGGCGCCTCGCCTCCAATCTACTGGGCGTTTGATCGAGGAACGCAGAGTGTTCCCGTTCCAAGGACATTAATGATCTTTGATGCAGATCAAAATAGGGGTTTTGCGCCTATTAAAGTTACGGAGGAATTCGACACGGATGAGGATATTCAGGATGCACCACTAGTTGATTACTCAGGGTTTATGCGGGAGAAACCGTTGGATTTATCGTAATTACATGTGGAACAAGAGCAACAGGTCATGGCTGAACCAAAAGCGGCAGTTTACTTGAGACAGTTCCTGCGCGGACGAGGCCGAGAACAGGTCACGCCGACGACGATTTACGGAGATAATCAGGATGCGTTGGTGCCCGCACAGACGCCGTCCGGACACAGCAGGACCAGGCACGTTGAGTTTCAGTACCGTTACACCAGAGGAAAGGTGGAAGACTCGACAGTGTCGTTCTCATTCGCCCCAACGACGGAAATGGCGCAGATGGGCCAACGAAACCGTTGAATCCTGTCCAGTTCAACAAGTTCAGAGAAATGATGGGGATGATCACACTGGAAAAATCAGGCTTTGACAGGAGCGATCGGTCAAAAGCCAGCTGGCGCAGTTGGTGACGAACGCCACATACAGGAGCGATGACATTGAATTGAGGGTTTCTGAAAGGACCAACCAGGTTGCGTTCAAACGGGACAGAAATATCTGTGAAAAAGGCGCATATTTAGACAGGTCAGAGGGTGAAAAGCTGTGTGTGTTTTCATGGATTCCTTCAAGTTTCCACTCACACATGGTCCATGGCGTATTATCGTACGGTATTGTGTTGTGTCCCGCTTCCATTAAAGGTACCAAGAGTATGCTCGCAGTGTGGGCAGAGTCTGTCTCCCCCTTGCCTGGTATTCTCATATCTCATGGCTAACGACCAGCAAGGGGGCCGACGACTGGTGATCGCGTCCGGTTGGGAATGACCGACCGACCTGCGAATCAAGGTCGAAAAGGATTTGACGGTCTACGGCGACGAGTGTAAGTTTGGTGGCGGCTTACCTTTTCATGGACTGTTACATGGACTGTTACTGTTACAATGTGTCACGGACCTCGTCCCTTGGCATTAGTTTAGTGTCACCTGGAACCTGATCTCTTGATCAACGTGCCATTTGAGATGTTGTTCACACAACAGAACCTGAACCTTTCAGATAGTCTTTCGTACTGCAATGTCAATTGACGTGTAGCGAGATGGACAAGTACATTGGTATGTCCGGACGGGCAATACACAAAGCATGGGGTGCAATATCGTTACTCGACTCCGTCTTGGATCGCTGACTCGGCACTCCAGAATTAAGGTTTGGGTGGCAAAACACCAAAAACACCCACAACTACACAACCAGTAGGTTATTTACTATAAAATCTTCGGGACTAGGTATCCGCGATCGTAGAATCATGTATCAAGTGTAAACGGTTAATTATCAGGTCTTAATCGTGGCTCAGGGGAAAGACACAAAATTCGAGGGCTGCGAAGGCCCACTGTCAGAAATTAAGGTTTACGGGAATTAAGGTTTACAGAAATTAAGGTTCACTGGAATTAAGGTTTACGGGAATTAAGGTTTACAGGAATTAAGGTTTACAGGAATTTAAGGTTTGGGTGGCAAGCTGGCAAAACGCCAGCACCATCAGCTAACCAAGGCATCATCGAAACGGGCATCATCGAAACGGGCATCATCGAAACGGGCATCATCGAAACGGGCATCATCGAAACGGGTACGTAGGGGGCAACAGTAGGAGGAAGGAATAGAAACCTACCAAGCAACAGTCCACGCAACATAAAAATACCAACCAATCAAAAGTTCCCAACAAAAATTTTTCGTTGAGGTGTAGCTAAGGAAAGTCCCCCCCCAAAATTCTTTTCGTCAAGGTGCAGCCAAGGAAGTCGACCACCTTCTGACGCTTGCAGAGCTCAGCGCATTCAAGGGCTGTCTTCCTGCAGGAATCCCTCCTCCGAGTATCGGCGCCCTTTTTGCCCATCGATATCGGACGACGTCTTCGAACGTCCCTCCAGCGAGGAGGCGGTACACAAACACTGCTTTGTTGTGGCCCAGATGGTATGCCCTGCCGATGACTTGTTCCTCCCACGAAGGTAGCTACCTAGCCTTGGTTTATTCATTCTATTGACCTATCTATCAGCCTCCGCGAGCTCTTCTTACATCCACCCCTAGGGACACCTGAACGGCCATGGCCACGCCGCAGTCCTTCGCCTGAGACCTCGTCGGAACTAGTCCTGCCAGCGTCAACGGCGCCGCCAGCGTTTTGCAGAGGCAAACGTGTCCCCAAGCGAACTATGAGGCCAGTTAAGGCCAAGAAACAAGGCTTTCTGCCTGATTCACAGGATGACTAGATCTCTGAGAGATCAACAAACCCGCGCTGTCGAGGGAGAGGCAGAGAAGCCCAAAAACACCTTCAACATGGCTTGGATGATACTTGACCACGGAAACAACCAGTACCGAATGTCGCCCAATCTTGGACCTCGAAGTATTGCAGACCTCGCCGGCGAAACACACCTTCAACATGGCCTGGATGTTACTTGACCACGGAAACAACCAGTACCGAAACACGCCTTCAACATGGCGTGGATGATACTTGGCCACGGGGGCGGCCAGTATCGAAACACACCTTCAACGTGGCCTGGATGACTTGACCACGGAAACAACCAGTACTTCGCGAATGTCGCCAATCTTGGACCTCAAAGTATTGCAGACCTCGCTGGAACAATGTCCTTGCTGTATAGTCTGTCGATGAGGGCTCAGATATGGGTGCCTCGTCCACCATGGGGGCATGGCACAAGATTTGATAGTTATTGAGACGTCCATATTCGTTCCGCCATCTGATCAACAGTAACAAGAAGAAACCACTGGGCATTGTCGAATGTCATCTCTGCTGATTGGATCGAGTGTGCTTTGAATTGGGCGTCTCGCACCGCCTGTCACGTCTGTCTCGGTCGGGGCCGCAGTACGACCCGGCTGGACTGGCCATGGGGGAATCAAGTTTGTCCTGGCGTTCGATCCTGTCACCGCCCTAAAACCCCCTCTGCCGTCGCTCAACAGACTCTCCTAGTCATCCTTTTCGTGCTATTCGCTAGCATGATCGCCTCGCCTATAGGTTCAATCGACAGACTCTCTACTCGAATATGCGCCGCTGATTAGAATAGCTCGCAGATTGGCGGCCAAACCTATCCTGATGCACCGCAACCCGGGCTGTTTGGTAGACACATTCGACGACCTGGACTGGATTCGCCGTCATCGAGGGTTGCAAGATTCGCGTTATATGTTACTTGAAGAGGAGGTTGCGATATTCCTGTTTATCAGCCGATTCGGTGCCACACAGACCGTTGCGTCAACAGTGTTCTCTCGAGGTCCTTGGGCGATATCACACTCGTTCAACGCGGTATTGAAGGCCTTGTTGCCTCTGTATTCGCATCGGCGTGTTAAACGCAGGTTTCGCATCCTCGGTGGCAGGAATGAGTACTCAATTGAGAAGCAAATCGATCTTGTTATTACCCTGGCGGCAGTTGTAAATTTCATTGCATGCGCGATCGGGACGACAAGGACTTGGATATCTCGCTGTCAGATATTGCCAACAGCGCAGAGATCGACGTTCCTGAGCCTCCTAGTCAATCGATTTGAGGCAGGACGAAGGGTTCGGAAAGAGATGGATGAGCTCAAACCACCATCGATAGAGGCCAGAAATTCCTCCTCTTCACTGTCACGCCGACGTTCGAGCAAGTCTGTGATTTCAAACGCTTTTGGCATCTTTGGGGCCCGAAAGCGCTCGAAAGCGCTCAGCCAAGTAGGCCCTAACACACCACAGCACACTATCGGGCTTTGGGTCAAGGGGTATCAGGGTGTAGCTGTCAGGTATCCACCAGCCAAAGAACACTCAACTCACACATCCAAGGAGCTCTGAGAAGACACCCTGAAAGAAACAAGGCTCGCGGCAGCCCATCTTGCCGTAATACCACCACACCATCGGGCCTTGGCCCGTAGGCTGTTAGGTATTCAGCCGGTATCAGGCACCATGAAGGTATCACCCATCGGGGCTATTAGCCACCATCGGGTATGGCCGCAGGCACATACAAGTCTGTCTATGGGCCTTTGCATGGACGACTGATCAGAAGCATCAAGTGAGGCTCGGGTTTGCCTGGTATATTCTCACAGCGGTCCAGCTGAGATTTTACTGTCAACAGGCCGGCTGGTATCAACCATAGCTCTTTTCTGCGGCACAAGAATGAAATGACCGGGCCTGCTCCGGAAAGCATTCCATCAGAAAGGATTGTGGTCGCTGGGAACGGCGGGGGGCGAAGGGGGATCGGTCCAGCGCAGTCGGGACTTGCGGTTGGGGGGAACAGACATGATTCGATCGTCGCCGACGTTTTTGTTGCACGCATGGGCTGTCTAGAGCCTGGCCGCAGGTGGGTGGAAGAGGGGATTGCATCGTCCAAACAACGCACAGAGGCCTCCTCAGCTGGTCCGCCACAAGAAGAGAGAACGAGGGTCATGTATATCTCAGCAAAGGGGTTGTTGACTTGCCAAGAGCCGCTAATGCAAGAGCAGGACATGATATCGTGGGTGTCAGTTGTGGCCCGTGCACCAACTTCGTGCATTAGCGGCTCTTGGCCAACGCGCACAAAACTTTTCTTCATGTCCAGCAAACTTGGTCCGATCGACAACTAACTCCCAGCATGGAAAATGTCCTCTACACAGTCAAGTCACTCTGCTGTCCCTACGACAAGCATTACAGTACAACACCACACCACACGGCACCGCCTAATAGGGCGTGAGGTATCAGTATCAGCCAAAGGTCCAATCACACCCTGCGTTGGCCACACCGGCATCTTCAGGCGGAGGAAATTCGATATGCCTGCAGTTTGCCAGCAGGGGATTGTAAGAACCACAGCCCACAGCTATATCTTCATCGTTGGCTAACAGACAGACTCTTCACGGATCGTTCCTCACTTCGGGCGTTGGGGCCACGAGCCTCTCTCTTCCTTTGGTCCGCCGAGTGTTGACGGATATCCATGAAAAGACACATGCCTCTTGGAAAGACCCGAGAGAGGGGGGAGGGGGTGGGCTAGCTAGCTAGCTGCAGAGATTTCACGATCTGGAACGAAGGCAGAACGAGAAGCATAGCCAGTCTCCAGACGAGCCGCTTTCAATAAGAATGAGGACACCGCGCCGCACCATCACACCACCGGGCTATCAGCAATCAGTGATCAGGCTGATATCAGGTATGACCCCATCGGACTATCATCCCTCAGCTAAAGGACATACAACTCACATCTCGCGAGGTGTACCGGGGCGCGCATAACGCCCCCAGGCCTGTCACCTTGCTATGTCCAGGAAGGTCTGTTCTTTTCCTGCGTTTGACCATGCCGTTGACTGATTTATATGCAGAGAAAGCCGCGAAGATTCGCTGGCCACGGATACCTCACAGAGCCAATTCAAGTGCCAGCCAGACCAGTCTGCTTTGCCCTGGCCGACTTCTGCGCTGTGCTCTTCTGTCCTGCCTGCCTGACTTTGTGTTCGAAGGGGTCGAGCTTCTCCTTCAGACTGTTGAAGGGGGGCAAATGCTGTAACACCACCGGAACGAGAGGAGGGAGCGAGGATGGTGTGAACCAGCTGACATAGTCGACCGCCACCGAGCCAGGCTTTGGAAAGCCCGATTCAGAGCTTCTGGAGCCGCACGGGTGGGTTGGCGTTGTGCGCAGGAAGACCTTTGATCAACAGAAAGACCTACTCGAAATGGAGGCCGCGGGTCTCGAGACTATGGGCCTCTTCGCTGGAGACCTCGCTCTCGACTATCAGGTTTGATCAAAATCGCCTTGCTAACGTCAAACTAACGAGGAAACCTGGCCCTGTCAAAGGCACAGCAGGAGAGCGATAGCGAGGTCCGACAGGATCAACAGATTGGCAACCTGCTGATTATAGGCAGTGGGTGGCAGAATGCCTAGTAACAGAGAACAGGACAGTGACCAGATACAGCGTAAATGGCCCTCAGGCTGTTCAACAGCCTCGAAAGTCCCAGGCCATCTGGACCACCCGGCAACGATCAATGAGGCCCTTGGGATGCTCCCAATCGACATCTCGCGAGTGAACAGTGTCTCACCGAGGAAACAGCGCCATCGAGATGGAGGAATCGCTCGTGTGGGCGCCAGGAGGTGGAATTACCCTTTTGGGCGATTTGGGTGACTCGTTCCAAAGTGTCCGTCACGACACCGTTTTGTCCATTGGAGCGCAATTCAAACACGACCCCGAATCAACTGCCTGTTCAACCATTTTGGTTGATGGGCCTTGAGGAGATGGCAGAACTCGTCCCTCTGCGATGAAATGGTCGACAGCAGTCGTGGCGGTGGGATGGATCACCCTGATTGCTTTTTCCCAATCGGGACTTGCCGCAATTGGAAGACTTCCGCTTTGGGTTGACGAGAATTGCCCTACCACCAAGCAGATCTCGCGCCATGGCCTGCGACTTGATCGATGGGCCTGAAGACACCAATTCCGCAGTGACCTCTCCTGGCGCCGTCCCAGGGTCGTTTCGTGACAGGTAATCCTGTAATGGCCACTGCATTGCCTATCACGCCAGAGATGCGGGATCTTCAGGTACTTCTTGAGCTTCGTGGCGGATTCTCACCACCATGAGTGCTTCGCCACTTAGAGAGTGCGTGACGCTCCAAAGCGACCTCGAACCTCTTGACCTTGGGTGGCCTCATCTCCAACTGCTTGCCAAAGTAGATAAGGCGATCTCCAGATGCTCAACGGTGTCGTAGACTCCCCTTGTTCTATCTTGGCCCAACGCAAGCTTGGCGATGAAGAGCGCCAGCCACAAGCTCGGTCTTGTTGGAAAATGGTTTGGATTTGTCGACGTCAGTACAGCAGTCGCGCAATAGTCGGACGTGATACTCCATGAAGGGTAAGCCACAGAGGAGGAGGGAGAAGAGGAAGAAGAAGACGATGGCATTCTGGGCGATGAATTGGACGAGCCAACTGCGAATGAAGGCGACAATCCGGAGGCCCAGCAGGCGGTGGAAGACATGGTCGGACCTCACCTGATACTTCCGTTATTGAGTCATCTGCGGAACTTCTGTATGGTCTGATACACGCCCGGTCGTCACGCTCTTCGCTGAAGACTTCGTGGGGTCCCCGAGAGATATCGGGGCGGATTCGCAAGCAAAGCTGATTGTGAAATTGGCATCGAGGTCGGCATCAATACCCTCTCGCGGCCTCCTGGAAGGCATGCGCCTCAGTTGTTCCACCGAGGGCCACTCGGCCTATAGCAACGCCAACGGCCTGTCTCCAGAGGACACTCTGGTGCCACCGGAGTCTGTTTACCTGTCATGGTGGCGAGAATCCGTTTCAACCCAGCCCGGGCAGCACGCGCCGCGGCATTCCGAGGACTGATGAGAGAATCAGTGGAGCAGGAAATGATGGAGAGAACATTGATGAAGAAGTGGTTGCTCAAGATTCGCCAACTCGGCATGCCTTCCCTTGTTGGTATTTACTCGCTGGTGCTGTGGTGGTGGTCTGCACCTTGATTCCTGTCAGAGTGCCTCTCGCGGAATGTGAGTTTTATATCCTTTGGCTGAGGGATGATTCAGACCTGATAAACTGATATTCGACAGTTGATAACCCATATTCCATGGCCGATGGTGTGGTTGTGCTGGGGGTGATCCGCAAACCTCAATTCCCTCTAAGTCCTCTCAAGATTCGAGTCAAGCTTGTCTCCGCTTGCTGATACCTACTGTGATACACGATCCTCGATGCCTGATAGTCGATAACCCACAGTCCACGGCCTGATGGTTCGGTGCTTTGGTGTTTTGGTGAAAAACCTTAATTCTTTCCGAGTGCACTCACGCACCACGATTTGAGGCTCTCTTGGCTAACAATTGATACCAGATACATAATCCACGACACTCCAATAGCTACTACACAAAATCTCATCGCTGACAGCCCTCTGGTTGCAGTGGTAGCTGCTGGCGCTGGTGTTTTGCCACCCAAACCTTAAATTCCCGCAAACCTTAAATCCTGTCAGACTGCCTTTGCACCCCTCGAGTTTTGTACCTTTTCGCTGGGGCCTCACCGACGCCAGATAATTGATTTTTTACGTCTGATACACGATTCTACGATCACGAATACCCTCCTCCTCCAATCTCACAGTAAATACCGTGCTGGTTGTGTAGTTGTGGTGTTTTGCCACTCAAACCTTAAATTCTCGCCAAACCTTAATTTCTGGCAGAGTGCCCTTTGCACCGTATGGATTCAACGCCCTTTGGCTGCAGCACTACTGAGACCTGCCAACTAGTAACTAACACATCATACGTGATTCTACGATAGAGAATACCTCCCCCGTCAAATCTCAGAGTAAATTACCCCCTGGTGCTGGAGTTGTGGGTGTTTTCGGTTTTTTGCCACCCAAACCTTAATTGTGCTGAGTCAGCGATACCGATATTGCACCCCCATGCTTTGTGTATTGCCCGTCCATCCCGATGTGCTGTCGATCTCGGTACACTTCAATCTCGGTACACGTCAATTTCGGTACTCGTCGATCTTGATGCTTGTCGATCTTTCGTCAATCTCGGTACTTGTCGCCCCCACGTCGATCCCTCTCCAATCTCGGTACTCGCCAATTTCGTTACTTGTCGATCCTTCGTCGATCTCTCGTCGGTTTCGGTACTTGTCAGTCTCGGTACTCGTTGATCCCTGCCGATCCCCTGTCGATCACCCATCGATCCCCCGTCGATTTCGGTACTCATCCATCTCGGTACTCGTCGATCTCTTGTCGATCCCTCGTCCATCTCTCCATCTCGTTGCTCGTCCTTGACATACTCCTCTCTCCCCTCTCCACCGCTGTTCAAGCCCCCAACAGGAAGAGCCGTATCACATCCGCGGCCTGGAGCAGGGAATCTCCACCATTGGGGCGCAGTCACGACACGAACCTACCGCCATTGTGCCGCCGGTAGAAAGACACACACACTCCGCCTCGTGCGGGTTACCCAGGAAGAAGTTACAGATCACGGCGAAGCCTGGAATAGGAGGAACATCTACTGTCAAGGTGCAATCACGACATGAACCTACCCAGCGAAGAGGCCATTGTGCCGCCGCACCGGTAGAAAGGCACACGCCCAGCCCCGTGCGAGTCTCCAGGAAGAAGTTACAGATCACGGCGCAGCCTGGAATAGGAGGAATATCTACTGTCAAGGTGCAATCACGATATGAACCTAGGTACCCAGCGAAGAGGCCTTTGTGCCGCCGCAGCTCCGCCTCGTGAGGAGAAGTAAGCCTCGTACGTTACCCTGCCTCGTGCGGAGTTCCACCGCCTCATATCTCAGCCGAAACAAGACGTCGAGGCTGCGGTCGATAATTCACACACAGAAGCGAGCCCGACGCGCAGTCAACGTCAACGATATGATTCCTGGGCAGAGACATGATATTGGATCCCATGTGTGTGTATTACGCATCTATCTCTGTTTGCTCGCCCTTGTTTTGGGGGAGTTTTGCTAGCTAATTACTGTCCAGTGTGATCACCCTTGATCATTCCACTGGGCCATCCATCCATGCCATGCCGTCCCATGCTCACCACTGAGTAATCAGTACAATTAGTAGGATGTGCCATGATCCCAGTCCCGTCCAGTCCAGTTCAATCCCCTTGAATCCAGTCCATTCCATTCCGGTCCAGGTCAATCCAGTCCCCAGCTCACTGTGCTGACAGTTCAACACGCGGTGAGTCTTTTGTAATATCCTGCGTACCATGTAATTCCAATTCCGGCTTCAGTGTCGGTTCGAGTTCTGGCTTGTGCTCTGATTCTGACAAGGGGTATGGGTGCTCTGGCTCCGGCAAACCCAAACCCTTCCACAGAGCAACCAGCCCAACCGGGCCGACGACATCCATCTCCAGTCCAGTCGATCAACAGTGAGCAGCTCATTGTGTTGTTTTTGGTGTTTTGTAAAATGTGTTTGAATGGACTTGGCGAATAAAGAAACCCCATCTATGAAAAGGAAATCCAGCTTTTTTTTTGGTGATTGGCTTGCTCAGCCAGCAAGGCCGGCAAGACTTTTCAATTGTTTTTGGTGTTTGGGTGTTGTTGGGGAGTGGTGATGGGTGATGGGTGATGTGTTGCTGTGCTGGCCAACCCAGGCTCTCAAGGCACGTGTCTGTCTGCCCTGCCTGCGCCCAGCACTTGGCTGCGCCACCACCGATGCTGCCTGCGGTCTGCTGGCATGTCAAAGTCGATTCCATGTGTTCGTATGCTGTATCTCGATTGCAAACCCGTGGCATGGTCCGGTGTCAATGTCAGGACCTGCCAACAAACCCGTACAGTCTGGTGTCCATGGCATTTCACTCCAACATCCACAGGATGCGGTCGAGCTCTTTCTGGAATCTGGCTCGCTCCGCCTTGCTGTCAAAGTGCAGAGTCTCGAGCTCTTCGGGAGTCGGACTGATCGAGTCGTGCACCAGCTTGACGTCTTCTCTGATGCCGTCCCAGTCGACCAGCGCATTCATAAAATCCTCCGATGCCAGCGACGACCAGGTCTGGCGCATCCAGGGACCGTCGCTGTACACCGAATTGACGTCTCTTCCAAACTGGTCTGCCTCGCTGAGGTCCTTGAACTTGGACATCTTGATGGTGTAGTCGCGTTCGACCTCGTCATGGCCTGCAGGCAGAACCACAGACATGGAGCCTTGGTTCCCGTGGCGGACGCGACTGGGGAAGTGCGTGCGCTCTTGGCCCAAGAACTGGGAAACACAGATTTTTCCCTTGGATTGATCCTCTGTAGCTTCGTTGGTCTTGCTACCAGTCTCGCCCACTGCCATGCTCTCGTCATCTTCAATTAATTGTGTGGGGACGCCGAAGTCGCAGTTCTTCGAACTTGGTGGGTGGATGCCAGGATCGAATGGATATCATGGGAAAGACCCTCGGAGGGTTCTGAGGCGCTGGCAAGGCTCCCATAATACCGGCTTCCAAACGACCGATGGTGGGGACATAATCTTCCAATCGCTCGGGGCCGTGACTTGAGACATCGTACCGGAGAGTCGGGTCCTCTCTGTATGGATTCGGCTGAAAGGTCATACTGTAACTTTGCTGGCTGAGCATTAAGCTCGGATTTGGCTGTTGCTCATCTGGATTGTCAAAGTCAAGCAGTTTCGTTGTCGCCGCCGGAGCCGTGCTCACAGGGAGAGGAGTTTCTGAGATCCATCTTTCAAGCGCTTCTTCCTCACGATGGGCATCCCCGATGATTCTTATTCCACCAATCGGAATGACTTGGTAAGAAGACTTTGGTATAGTCTCCGTACGATTGAGCCCGATTGGTGTACCAGGTGCCATGTTGAGTAAGAAGTTCTCCCACCCCTTGCTGCCATGCTGATACATGGGCCGGGCGCAGGCAAGGTAAAAAGAGTTGACGTCTCTAGCTATATCCCGCACCAAGAGCTCCTTCACTGCCTGCACGAATTGCAGATTGGCATCCAGAGCTAGGATTGCAGCGAATCTAGCCCTACTTCCCGCAGAGGGAAACAAGTCGGGGGCGCGGAGAAGTCTCAGAACCTCTTTGCTCGAAAACTTGAGACGCCGGATTTGCTCATCCACATCGAGGGGACGGACGAGCTTCACAAGTGGAAACGCCTTAGCGCGGAGGATCTCAAGGCTAAGAGTGACGAGATACTCTTCGCTGCACACTTGCACCACCTGGCCCTCACCTATTGTAGCAGAATCAGAGACTGTTCACCACTAAATGGAAAGGCCACTCACTGTTCAGGATACCTCGATGTTTCTTCTTCTCTTCCAAATATCTGCCATTGAAATACGCAAGAATTTGCTCAGCCATGATGGAAAGCTGGGTGCTGTTGAGGGGTTGCGCATGTACAGTTTTCGATGATGAAGCCACGAATCTGTAGCTTGAAATAGAAGATGAACAACTCGAGGAAGCCGCATAATGAAGGCAGTTTACGACGCGGGGACGGAATTCACTTGTTTCAAATGAAGGAGGCTTGGCAAGATAAAAATGTGATGATACAACAATATCAGTGGCGAAGGTGAGGCAAAAAGTGAATACATGGTGAAGTGCAACCAGGGTGACTTGAGAATAAATTTTCAATCACTTCAAATCCTTTTGATTTTCTTCTCATTCAACCATTCTCCAATTTTCGTTTCATTCACGCCACAGAATTGAGTCATCAACGCCACAGAATTAGATCATCAACGCCACATTCCAAGTTCTTTGTTTCTTTGTTTAAAAGGTCCGAGCGTCATGCCTACTCAAAGCAAGATGGTTGCAGACGACAATTCAATCCCAGCTGCGCTTCATGACTTCTTTCGTTCACTTGCACCAGAGCAACTGAGCTCAATCACCGAAGCTATTGCAGCTGTCATCCCTGTGCGCTCGACAAGCGAGAGGCGCAGGTCCTTCGTAGCGTGCAACAGACGGGCTATGACTACCAAGCGTCCTCTGAATGGCTTTATCGCATATCGAGGTGAGTACAACCATCTCCTCTCCTGGTCTCCGCTAATAACGTGATAGCATACTACAGCCCGGTGTTCAAGGGTGCAACCCAAAAAGTGAAAAGTGGCTTCATCAGGACTATGTGGGGAGAAGACAAGAAGAGATCGATGTGGACTTTGTTGGGAAAAGCATACTCCGACTTGAGAGACCATCATATGGAGGCCATCACAGTGGACAGGTTTCTGGCAGTTGCTGTTCCATTGCTTCCGATCGTCCCCATCGATCTGTACCTCACCAAGATGGGCTGGATACTCACCGTCGACGCCAGTGGTGAATCAGTCCTGATGCGATCTGCAAAATTCAATCCGGAACTGTTGGCTGCAGAGTATCCTCATCACACCAACTTGTCAGAACAAGATATCGTGGAACACTGTTACCGCCGCGGCCTGGTTGACCGTGGCCGTCGTCAGCGAACACGCCAACACCCATTGCGTGATGCGCTGGTTCAAAATGGCATGATGACAGACACAGACGTTGGTGCGATGGGCGGCAATGCTGTTTCTCACGACACACCTCCCGGCTGTGGTGCCTTGGCTCTTGCAGTTGTTCCTCAGACGGTATGTCATCAGTCCGGATTCTCAGTTCAGTTTCAATCGTCCAACCCATACTTGAGTCTAAAGCTGACTGACTTTATCAAATCAGGTTACTTCACCTTCCTCGGCCGAAAGCGTGAGCAGCAGCCCAGTCAGCCATACTCAAGAGCAGCAGTTGCCGACCCCTACTAGCAGTTCTGCCACCACTCCCAGTCTTGTTGTCGACAATGAAAATGAATATCATCATACAAATCTCGACTACCTTACAATTGAGGCTGTTACTGCCGACCAGCAATCTGCATATGCTCGAACCAACGGAGCTGGTCTTGCTGCGCTTCACTTCCATCCTCAGATTTCCCCCCCAATCTTAGGGTTTGATCCCCGGATCGTCCAAGATGACTTTGACCCCTTCAATCTGGACGTCTTCGGGTTCGACTTGAACGATAATGTGAAGAACATGTGAGAGCATATGCTGCGCGTCAAGGGACTTGATACATTGAAAAGAACAGAGGCAAACATTGTCCGGAATATCCACGCCAACAGAGCACGGAGGCAGAAATTGGGGGGCCTGTCTCCAGGGCTGGGAGCTACAGGGAAATACATTGGGTGCGGTTGGGCTGGAGACGGGGTGATGGCAAGGCCACCGGCTTGAGCCCAGGAAGGAAAGCTCCAGCGTGGAATGTCTACGGTCACTGTTTCAACAGAAACAGAAATTAATTGCACCATGGATGCGTGTGTTGGGGGTGACCAAATGTTTCAAGCATGTTGCATACATGCAGACGTGGCAAGGCCACGCAGATACATAGCTGTTTTCCATAGAGCTGATAGCCAACAAGGAGAAACATTGAAATCCAGCCATCCTCCCTGCTTCCTTGATTCGTGAAGGTGTTGTGGTACCATCCAAACAAGGGTCTCACGTCGAAATGCCCATCCAGCAGAGCAGTCCTGGCCCACGGTGAGATGGTAAACGCGCCCAAAGGGCGCAGGCAGCACAGTGATTCCCGCTCGACGCCAGTTCCGATGTAGGCCAAGAGATGTCCCAGTACCCGTCCGTGCCGGGGTCAGAAAAAACAAGTATGGATCCTGGCCCTTCATCAATCCTGGCTCTTCATGAATCCTGGCTCTTCATGTATCCTGGCTCTTTACCAACCCATGGACACTCGTAGATGTGGTCTGTAGGTTTGACGGTTGGAAATTCCTTGTGGCTGTACATGTTTCCCCGGAACAAAGGACGGCAAGAAATCTCTGGCGAGAGAAGTGAGGAGGGGTCTCAGGCGGTATTTCTCGAAGCCTGATCCACAGCATGTTAGCCAGCAAACATTCGAAGGTGCAGAGACTGATTGACACGAGGGGAGAGCTGGGAGTTGCTCACTTGGAGAGACTTGCGGGGAATCCAGGCCGGAACTGTGCTTGTCCAGAAGCTGGAGGATGAGATGGCGGACGATGGTTTGGACATTCAAACTCGGCAAGATTGCAAGCCCCCAAAGCTAGCGCAGCCAGGGCAGTCAGCAACTTGTACGATCTTCTTGGGCACCAACATACCTTGTTCTTGAACTCGCATTGCATGATTCATCCCGACAGCCTGGATTCCACAGCTGTCAACAACATTGTAATTTCATGCCTTGGACTTTGTAGCTGAACTGTGATCCTTCTCGGGTTTCGTAACTCGTCACGTTGCCCTTTGAAACTGCGCGCTGCTGCACGCTGCATGTTGACGCTCCAAGCCAACTCAGCACCTTGAGCCATGCAAGTTGCTTTTTGAAACCGCAAGACATTGAAACCCCATTCTTCCCTCGCTATCCGCGCCGCAGACCGCCAATCAACCCTGCAGTTCAGGATCAATCGTTGTAGCTGCATCTTGATCGAGATCCATGGAGGCAGAAGGATTCAATCTTCCACGCAAACTCGATGTATTTTGCCGGATGTCAGCTGAAGTCGAGACAGCTGAGTGAGAAATAAGTGAGAAAGAAGTGACAAGATTTTTGAAATCCATGAGATCTGACTGAGAAACAGTTGACAGCATGATTGAACCCCTCGAGCGGTTGCGTCATGGACATTTCCTGGTGCTTTGAACTGTATTTGATCCTGCTTGCTTATTCCCTTTGCCTGTTGAAACTCCGGCAGCAAGCCACCCACGCCAATTTGAGGGGGATAGTGCTGGAAGCTCGACAGAGAAGGATTCTGTTGGAATGCTGACAGGGAGCCTTGAGCGACTTGTTCAAGTTTTCTGCTTCTTCTCCTGCTTTGAACGAGTCGATTCTTCGTTCGCCCTCTTCAGCTGGCGGAGTTCCTCCTCTCACGTCGACCTTCTCTTGTAATTCGGTCAATCTGGGGACGTTGGGCTTGGGATACCTCAGCTGGCAGCACTCTGCGATGTCGTTGATGTTTTCTATCGCTCCTTGGACTCGTAAGGAGCCCAAAGGCGTCGCTAGATCGATCGTGTTTGGACACGCAGTCTGTTGGAATGTGAAAAGAGAGCCGTCCTGGCATGTTCAAAGGACTGCTGGAATTGCTGACAGGATAGACATAGGCCCCAAGTTCCAAGAAGCCTGTTGGGAGATCGACAGAGACGGATCTAGTTGGAAAGTTGATAGGCAAGCTGTCTGTTGGAAGTTGAAGTAGAGGGATCTTCCCAGGTTCCAAAGATCCTGTTGAATTGTCGACAAGAGCCGCCATCGGATGTCGTCCAGGATGATATATGTCTTTGTTAGGTGCTTAACTGGTGAACGACAGACACCGTGCACTGCTTTTCGACTGCCATGAGACACATGCAGTGCGAATCTCTTTCAGGCGGATGGAATAATGCCACAATTCCGATCTCATTGTCATGCCCAACAGATCCGTCACATCTGAATCTGGACCACACCACATCCATGAACGCTCAAGTCAACGTCAATATCTCCATTACGATGGGACAGTCCACGCATCGGCAAGATCCATGGCAAAGGAGTTCGGATGAGAAGAGCAGACAATGAAATCCAGTCATCCACCATGTGACGTAATGCGTGACGTAATGTGTGACGTAATGGAGGTCAAGAATTCTGTCCGTGTGGTTACAAAAGGCCGTGTCCCTCGGCCGTCGACAGTTCTCTTCCTTCATCTGAAATGCAACTTGCCACGCGGCCCCGCCTTCGCTATCACTTGCCCCCTGCTGCCACCCGTTCTCCATTACTTGCCATCTGCGGCCGCCCGCTCTCTAGCACTGGCCACAGACGTCCCCCAGGGTGATGCATTTGTTGAGTTTTTGATTAGTGGACGATGACATCCTGGGCGACGCCCGTGGTAGGGCTCCGCTCTGTGGCGCCAGGATTCATCCAGTCGCTGCTATATTCGTACTGTTGTGACCTGATGTTTGAATTCATCATTGAAGGATCGTAACGCCCAGTGTTGTCGAGTGTAGTGAAGCTCGGGAAGGACTCGTATTGTTTGAGCGGGGGCAACGATGGATCGTTTGACCACTCCTTCATGCTTAGCATGTTGAGATGCTTGTTGTTGGAAATGCCTCGTAGGTCTGGTCGTATCTCTGGGAAGTATCAGTACTGGTAAATAATGCAGGTATGGTGGGATTCTGACTCACACTCGGAGAACATGTTGCCCGCAGGCAGTCACCCGCGGTGTATCAGTCGGTGAGTATACTTGGTTGATAAGCATGAATAACTGATGGTACCAAAGTACTGTAGGAGTTCGACAGGGGATCCGTCCGTTGGAGGACGTGAAGGTTGGCTGGAGGACGTGAAAGTCAGTTAGATGTAGATAAAGAGGTGACTGGTAGACGCTGTGCACTTACTGTATATCATAGGTGTCGCCCAACAAGACAAAGGGTTTGGCGTCTGCTGGGTATTTGCTCTAGTCTTGATTGTGATGGAAGGGCCATCGCAAATATCGTTGTTACCACCACCCTCCCGTACTGAAGGGGTATTTGCTGCGCATCTGCGCTAGTCTTGATTGTGATGGAAGGACCATTGTAAATGTCATCGTCACCACCACCCCGAGCTAGAGGAATCTTAGCTTCGAAACGTTTTGTCAATCAGGGAAAGTAAGGCGTACCCAACACTTGGGTGGCGGGAATGATGAATCTAGGGAAGTCATGGCGTTTAAGACCAGCGGATAGCTGTTGAGGTCAGCATACGATGTGACAGACAGAAAGGATTGCTTGAGGTGAAGCAGAGGTGTGAGGGTGAGGGTAAGTACGACGTCGTCCACAACGACACACAAGACAGAAAGAAAAAAAAAGGACAGAGGGCGTGGATGGTAACGACACTGACCTGCAATGCAACATTAAAAGAGGATAGAAGGCGTGATGTCGGCCCGGGGCCGACCCCTTGGTCAATCTTGCTGACGTTTCGGAACGCCAGGTAACATTGTTCAGGTAAGGATGGTTAAAATATTGGTCGTTAAGATATGCGTTGGTAATGATGAAGGGATTGTTATTAATATTCATGCTCCCAACAGCGGACTCTGCGAGTCCCGCAGGTAGAACGCACCATTGGCGTAAGGAGAGGGAACGAGGATAGAAGGTGTGTGAAGGTAAATGTGGGATTGATTGTCTCATTAAGTACTATGGAAGTGCTGAAGCCACGTAATGGCCACGTAATGGCCGCGTGATAGGCCACGTAAAAGCTATGGAAGGCAAGTGCCACAGGTACTGATGCAATCGCATGCGGTATTGAGGTGTTGCAGGCACCTGCCATGGAGAATCCACAACCAGGTGTCTGGCTTGGGGCGACAGTGCAGGAGACCATGAACCCAGCCACGCTGGAAAGAGAAGGCTTGTCAATCTTGCTGACGTTCGGAACGTCAGCTTGGTAGCATTGAGAGACTTCGTACATTATGAGGCAGGGGTTGTTATTGATATTCATGCTCCATACAGCTGAATCTATGACTCCGCAGGTAGCTAACGTGATGGGTATTCCCTTTGGCCTTCAGGAATTCCTGAATGGTGTCACCAGTGGCGTTTGGGAGTGCTTGCTCAGGAGCCATTTTCTCCCACTGGCTCCTCCTTGAGGGCATCTCGAGACCAACCATTCGTTTCCCCTTCTTGTGACTCCCCCTTGAGAGCGTCTGCAAGATCAACGGTTCGTTTCTTCTTGTGACTCGTTGAATGGCAGGGTAATGCGGTAAACGACGTATGCGTACATGCGGTGGAATATTTGGCGCGACGTCTTCAGGGCGTCAATGATGGCCGATAGACCAGGTGCGAGGGAAACAATGTCTGCTGCTGATCGAGCTGCATCACGCTCCTTGTAGACCATGTCTAACAAGATGTGGATGGGTGAGAACCTTCTTGCGCTTGATACCAACTGGGCTGGAAGTGCTCCGGGGCGGTGGAATTACCGTACTAGTTGGACAAGTTATGCTCCAGCTGGTCAACGAGTGGACGAGGGTCAATGATCTAGGCGTACGCCTACTAGCACTGATGTGTGGCTCGGACTCGAGGCGTTCAGACTTCATGACACGCTCGAGTTCGACTTGGTGGGCTTGAAGCCGGTATGGCTCAATCTTTGGCTTAAGCTGGTCCGTGGTAATCTTGAGGTTCCGGATGAATGCAGCCAGCTTAAATAAGATCTTGCTGTCCATGGGAGAGTCTAGCTTTATCCGCAGGCCGTCTTTACCCGTCTTTACCCACAAGCCTTTGAGGGACTGTTTGTCGGAGGATGTGCATCTTCACATTCGGTCCTGACGTCAGTCAGTCCCAGACATTCTGCGTAGAGATATCTATCTTTATGTCTTTGCTTCTTTTTTTATTTTGACCAATCTAAGGCACGAAGCTGTCGCGAGACCTGGCTGCTTCCAGGTCGGCCATTTTGTCATTCAGTGCCTCGCGAAGGTGTTTGGCATCATCGCTGGTCTTCCAGGTTGGAAATGCTCCGAGGTGGTAAGTTCAGTGTACTAGTTGGATAAGTTATACTCCAACTGGTCAACGAGTAGACGATGGTCAATGACCTGGGCGTACGCCCAACTGGGACTGATGTGCCACCCGGTGCGCTCGCAACCGGCACAGCTCTATCTTTGGCTTCAGCTGGTCCCACTCGGTCTGTGGGTTCCGTCGCAATCTTGAGATTGCGGACGAATGCAGCCATCTTCCATAAGATTCTGCTGTCTGTGGGAGAGTTCAGTTCTGCGGTACGTGCTTGATCTTAAGTAGTCGATTCTCTTTTGTCGCCAAGCTTTACCCGCAGGCCGTCTTTACCCGTCTTTATCCGCGCCGTTGATGGGCTGTTTGTTGGAGGATGTGCATCTTCGCACTGGGTCCTGATGTCATTCAGTTCTGACGTCATTCAGTCCCAGACATTCTAGGGTGCAGAGATATCTGTCTTTGTGTCTTTATTTCTTTGTTTCTTTTGACCAATCTGAGGCACGAAGCTGTCGCGAGATCTGGCTGCTTCCAGGTTGACCATTTGTCATTCAGTCCCTCGCGAAGGTGTTTGCATCGCTGGTCTTCCAGGTTGGAAATGCTCCGAGACAGGAGCAAGGGAGGTGGGATAGGCAGTATCAGGGGATGTGCACCAGCAGGTGAATGAACAAGGCGTGCTCGCGGAGACTGTAGCCTCTAAGAGGCAATGGGCAACGCCAGTGGCAAAGGCTTTATTGGTGGGGGCGATGTCTTGTTCAATGACATCCAGGAGGGAAGAGATGCTAATGGATCTTTGTTTCTGTTGAGAACGAGTACATTGGAGGACGCCCCCGACACGTCTCCCTCCGTTATGCAACTCTTGAATAATTCCTGCAAGCATGCGATTTCGTGCTCGCCGTCTTTGATGCGATGCTTGTCTAGCGAGTAGATCACCTTTTGACTTGTGATGAGTATACAGCCCTCCTTTAGTCGGTGATTCGCCAGTTACCTCTGGGCTGAGACTCAGCCAGCGTCGACAATCTTCTGACCTTGAACCTCGTTTGTGGTGGATCCAAGTCAATGTCGGCCATATCGCCAGAAGTTCATGGACATTTGGTGTTGGATCGGGTATATTTGGTCGACTCTGAGGTCAAGAGTCGGCTGGTTGACTGTGGTAGGTCTGTCAAGAGAAGATGAGGCGCGAAGCTGCTGCCCCCTTTCCCCCCCAAGCCGGTGGCGACTCGTAAAAAACTTTTGAGTAGTACAGTGCTTCTTGGCCTTCTTCGCCTTCGATCCCGTCGTCATTCAGTCCTAGACACTCAATATGTCTATCGAGAAGAGCCGGTTTTCCCTGGTCAGGTACATAACTGTCAGAAATTTCCAGAATGCGACTGAATCGCTTCATACTCTGCGACGACGTTAAAATTGAACGAAGGTAATTAATTCCCACTGAGAGTGAGCCCGTTGAACGCCACGCAATGCTGGTTGGTAGTTTTCGTCACAATGCGGATCTCCATATTCCATCAATCCAGATATGGAAGGCTTGTGGTCAAATACAGGCGAATGGACTCGGGCAGCAAGAGTTGATCACGCGGGCTTCGGCTTGTGTTTGGAAAGAACGCACCCGAGTGACTTGAGCCACACGTTCGACGTGAGGTGGTCGACGTCTGAGAATTATCTTTTTCGTCTTTCGATCGTCGATCGAGGTGGTCCTGCTCGGAAGGAGGAGGTCTCTCAATCACCTAGTGGCTCCAAGGAGTAAGTCGCTCCTCAACGGCGTCCAGCGCCTTGAGTAAATGTAGGTCCGGGTGTCTGCTGCGTCCAGCGCCTTGAGTAATTATAGGTTTGAGTATCGATGGCGTTCCAGCGCCTCGAGTAATTGTAAGTATGGGTGTCGGCGGCGTCCAGCGCCTCAAGGGACTTGAAGTCCGGATGCTCTTCAACGGTATCCAGCCGAGAGAAGTGCAGATCGATGTCGACACCTTCAACAAATCCCAATACTTTTCCTCGATAGCGAGGATCATGAGGATAGGTGAAGGTCGGGGGGTAGAAGTGAGTTGTAGTAGGAGGCCGGGAACGATCCCAGCCTCCAAGGAATCTGGGGACCAGGGACAATATCCCCTCGGGCGATACAGCGGGCTCTGCCGCCGCCTCGGCCACCTTCTGTGGATCGGGTATGTAACCTGTGGAAGATTCGAAGACGGTGACGTTGAAGAATGACTCCTCCTCGCCGGCACCTGTGGGCCGATCAATCACCGCGCGGGTGTTGATTCCGGTTGTCGAGGTACGGCAGTTGTAGCAACCACGGTATGTGGTGAAAAGTGAATTGTCCCTCGGGTCGACCACGAAGACGACATTTCCCGATGCCGACGATAGCCTGAACTTTACTCTCACGATCGAACCAGATAAAAGGCATGTACAAGAGTGGTAGCTTCGTTCAACTTTGCCATCAACCAGAACTTCCGGCACGATCCGCCAAAGGTCAAATGTACCCAGAAGATCTATCATCTAATCCTCCTGTTCAGCTCCGACGGTCTCCTGCTCTTGAATTTCGTTTGTGGTGGGTCCGAGTCAACATTAGCAATTCGCCAGTTGTCTCTGGCGCCACCTCACTAGGTGTTGACCCCCGTTGTCGACAGGCGGTATTTGGTGCAAAGGGTCGCCGCAGTTGTAGCAACCACCGTCCATGATGTTGACTGACGTTGTCAACGACGTTGTCAGAGGGCGGTACCGCAGTTGTAACAGCGGCGGCCCATGGCGTTGACCCGCTTTGTCGGCCGGCGGTGCCTGATGCGATGAATCCCGCAGGTATAGCAGCCTCTGTCCATGATGTTGGACGGTGGATGTGAGGGTGTGTTCAAGGATGGAGAGAACCAAGGCCATGGTTTTGAGTCAAAGGACCTAGTAGTGCACAGTGAAGCATTAGTTTATGTGAAGTGCAGCAGCTAGTGACGGTGAGACTGAGAGAGGTGCAGAGGAGGAAAAGGACTCACTTTGTCGATGGGCATTGAAACATTTTGCTGTCTGGACAATGACATGAAGCATCCAGAGGGAGATGTACACAAAGGAAAAGGATACACAAAGGGAGGCCGAATGTGCTGAGGCATGCAGAGATGCAGCGGTGCGGAAAAGAGGGAGAGTGGGAGAGATGCAGCAGAGAGAGAAGTGCAGAGGTGCAGCAGGAAAGAAAAAGACTCGCTTTGTTGACAAACAACCTGGAAGAACCACTGTTGATGCAACCACGACAACAAACACTGACGTATGTTGGTCGTTGCTTGTGCATTCACAGCCTGATGCAAACAAGCTTTCTTGTGCAGACTCCGGATAGGTGGATGAGTGGGTGGGTGGGTCCGCGGGTCAAGCTTTCTCCGACCCCTAAATCACGTGCGGGGAACGACATGTTCGGAGATAGTCGGGGCATCCAGAGCTGCTCGGGGTTACCCGGAGTTACTCCGCATTAACTCCGTGGCTCCGGATTTAACTCCGGAACCATGCGCGGGGACACGCGGGTCGAGCTCTGTCAGACATGGTCGAGTCAGCACCTGCGACAAGAACGCGACACGGATTCACGTGAAGTCGTACCAAACGTCGTACCAAAGTGGCGTTCTTTGTGTAACCCTGTACAACGTCGTCGCTGTGAGGAAGCTGGAGACACAAAGCCAAAGAGACGGACACCCAGATGCAGAGATTGGGAAAGAGACAGACAAAGAAATGCAGGCGCAGAGACGCGTCAGAAGGCCAGGAGTTCACGTCAAGATACGCAGACATACAGACATTGTCTTTGACCCTCGCAACTTTCTTCAGTGTTGTCATCATGGTAGATGACACGAATGCAGATACGCAAATGCAGACGTGGAAACACCGACACGGAGATACAGACACAGTTGCAGACACAGATGCGGAGACATAGGAGAAACAGAGACAGAGACAGAGACAGACGCAGGCAAACAGACATCAGGAGGTGAGGAGTTGAGGAGTTCAGGATCTCAGGGAAAGGCGTACAGATGTGACATATATGATGTCTGTTTCGCAACGTCCTCCAACATGGTCCTGATTCTGTGTTTTCCTTCATCCCCGTCGTTGTGAGGATTTTCAGAAGCAGAATCAACAATGCACACAAAAATGTGGAGATATGAGTCCATTGTTTTGGTCCTCGCAACATCCTTCAACATCACCGTCGCGAGGAGATGGAGATACAGAGGCACTTACCCCCTTTTGCCTGCAGTGTGGCCTCATCTTTGCTGCCGCCTGACATCACCGTGGTGAAAGGTCGCAGAGACACAGACAGCTGTGCCCTTTTTTCGACAGAGTCCGGGAACCCAGGGAAAAGGTACAGATAGGATAGAATGTCTTGACGATGCAATTTCCTTGATCATCATCTTTTGACATGGTCGTCGTGAAACTTTGTAGATGTCGGCGAACTAGCTCCGGTGTTGCAGATGACTCCCCCACCTTCTGGCAGCGGACTCGACTCTCGGGCAACAAGGACGGGTCAACACCCCATACCAAGTCGTGCATCTATGACGTACACGGCATTGACCTAGCAACCATTGTTTCCTTGGCCGTTCTCGTGGTGAAAAGTTGTAGATATCGAGGCAATCACCTCGTCTTCTGCAGAAAATTCTTCTCTTTTCTCTACGGAGTTCTCTATCGGTGCCTCGTTATCTACGCAGCGGCCGGGGCGCGTCCGCGATTGGTGTTTAGCTACGACCTGCACTACTTTGACGGCTTCAACCTCATTATTGTTCTCGTGAGGGTGTTGCTGGTACAGAGGCATTTACCACCCTTTTCCTCCAGCGAACCTTTTCCTTTTCTTGCAGAATACGCGCTCTTTGTTGTAGAATCTTCTCCTTTTATTTGTCGAAGACTCTCCTTTTCTCTGTCGAAGACTCCTTTTCTCTGTCGAAGACTCTCCTTTTCTCTGCAAAGTCTTTTTTTCTACGCGGCAACAAGGCATTCCATGGGATTGCCTGAAGACGAGTGTGTGTGTGGCGTGCCATCTTGGATATATCTTCATTTACAACATCGTGGTGCAAGATTATATACAGAGGCAGCTGGATCCTTTTCTGCAAGTGTATTCTCCTTTTTCTACAAAAGAATCTTCTCTTTTCTGCAGAAAACTCTCCCTCTTCTACATCCTTTTGATACGGAGTCTTCTACTTTTGTCTGCGGATGTCTCTACTTCTGTAGATTATTCCCCTTTTGATACAGAGTCTTCTACCTTTGTCTGCGGATGTCTCTACTTCTGTAGAGTATTCCCCTTTTGGATTGGCAGAGTACTCGAGGAGTTTTTCTTGTTTCTACTCCTCCATTATCTACATGGTATATATCTTCCTGTTTCTACTCCTCCATTATCTACATGGTATATATCTTCTTGTTTCTACTCCTCCATTATCTACATGGTATATATCTTCTGCGTTCTACAGGTTCGCCTTCTCTTTTCGGAGCATATCCCCCCCCTTTTGCTACAGAATGCTCTTCCTTTCTACAGACTTACCACTCTGCGCGACAGGGACCCGTCATGGACCACCCGCAGTGACCCCGGGCAGACGTGACGGGGACGGTCCTGACTTTTGAACCCGGTTGTGAGCACGGTGCAGAGCAGGGGAAGCCGCCTCCCACCGTTCTCTGCGCGCTCCTCGGTCAAATGGTCTCTTCTCTGGTTTCCTTTCCCCCTTTTCTCTCTCTCTCTCAGGGACGCACCAGTTGAACTTTACAGACACGAGTGTTTTCTGAATTCCTTGTCTTGTGTTTTGAGAACTCTATACTCAGAATTGAGTGAGTTTCTTTGCTTTGTTCACGTTGTTAAATCATCTCTCCAGAGTTGTTAGCCCGAAGTCATTGCTCTTCTAGCAAGCATTCAGATCTCGGCAGGACAAGTGAACATCTCTCCACCCACCAGGCCGTAAGTACTGCTCCTCGTGCACCTCGTCTTACTCTAACCTTCATTTAGGACAGTTCGACACTATTGTCCTTTTGCTTTCCGTCAACCTACAACCTCTACACATCTTTCATCACCACAATGGCCTCGAGTGATCACCAAATGTTCCCTGTAACCCTCGAGAGAACCCCCACATCGATCGACAAACCATTCACCCTTCGCCGGCTATACGAGACCGGTAACCTGAGGAGATCCGGGCTCTTGGAGCAGCCTGAACCAAGCCAATACCTGAACAAAAAGATTTGCGCCATACGGGGCAACGTTGTCCAGCTCCTCGTCGATGGAGTTATCACCGCTGCCAACACGGAGCTCTCCGGCAGTCATTTTGCCAACAACGTCGATAGTGGCGTTCACGAAGCTGGCGGCCAGCGACTACGCCAGGCGTGCCGTGCCTTGGGAGGTTGCGCGGTCGGTGGCGCAAAGGCCACCAACGGCCACGGCCTTGCGGCCAGGTGGCTGATCCACGCGGTGGCTCCGGTCTTCAGCAGCGCCATGCAAGGTGAGCGTGGACTCCAGCTCAGGTCCGCATATCTCAATGGAATGCGATGCGCCGTCCAAAATCGGTGCCGCACGATTGCCATTTCGTGTTTGTCCATCGGGCCGTATGGCTTCCCAACCGGGACGTCGGCAATGATTGCTCTTGAAGCAGTCAAAGAGTTCCTGCAAGGCCCCAGTGGGCATGTCCTCAGAAAGGTTATCCTTGTCGTTACCACCCTCCATGAAGCCGAGGTCTATGCGATGTGCTTGCCGTACGTGTCCCCTTGCATCCCTCTCGTTGCTGTACTGTGCTAACTTTGTACTTGATCTAGGCGATACTTTCCTCCGACGCGTTCTGACCTCGGTCTCCCGCCGACCGAGCCCCTCCTGCCCACACTTACCTTTCAGCCTTGGGGCCCATCGGGCTACAGGAATTCTGGCCCGTATGGGCAGATCTTTTGCCACCCAGCTGTAGGAAATGCAGACAACGCGGTGGAACCAGAGGAGAGGAGAGCGCCAATTGAGACACTGGCAGTCGACGATCGCGCCGAGGACCCGGCCAGCCTCCTCGCAGCCATGAAGGACACCTTTCGTGGTTGGTTTGCCTGTTTTTGATTCGTTGTTTACAACATCTCACAACCGCACGATCACATGGCGAACGTTTTCACTTTGAACCCTTGGTCCTTTGACCGAGAGACAGGCCGTGGGGCCAATTTCGACTGGTGTATGGGGGGAGAAGTGCTCTGCAAAGGCAGGCACAGTATGGATACTGGAAGAATGATGGGAATCCCACACACACTACATTTTTATTCATTGTGTGTTGACCCCCATGATCATGACCATCCACCGGTCGTGTTGGTCGTCTGTGCAAAAACCTCGATTTCTATCCGAGTGTACTTCTATCCTTGCTTTACAAGTGTTACTGCTCGCGAAATGGCGACATTGGTATGATTTAGCTGAGGCAGGATTGAGAACTGATAATCGATATCTGATAGTACAATGGCGAATACTTACCCCCTGATTTCTCCTGGTAAACAGCCCGCCCGCTGGCAGTTGCGTGGACCAGAAAACATTTTGGAGGGTTTGAGGAGGGGGGGGGG